TCCACACTCACCCTTAGGTGCATCCGACCATGGTTAGGTCTCTCTAAAACTAAACTCTAAAACTTCTTTTTTATCATCAGAATCCCCCTATCATCGTACATCTTACAACTACCTTAAAGCTGACTGGGACTCTTTCTGTGATTTTCTTCGTGATGGCCCTTGGGTAGAAATCTTTCATCTTCCTATTGACAAATGTGCTTCTTACATAACTTCGTGGATTCAGGATGGCATGGAATCCTTTATTTCTTCTCGACGATTCCAGGTCAAGCCTCACTCTTTTCCATGGTTTTCCTCACATTGTGCTGCTGCAATTGCCAATCGAAACCATTACTTCCATATTTATCAGCAAAACAATTCTCCAGAAAACAGACATCTGTTTATTACTGCTAGGAACCATTGTAAAAAGGTTTTGTCTAATGTCAAAGCCCGCTATCCTCAGATCATGAAATCTCGTATTTCATCACAGAAATTAGGCTCTCGTGACTTCTGTAGAATCTTTAATAGTATCAATAATAAGGGCAAGTCTGTAATTTCACCTCTTTTGTATGGTTCAGATGGTTTTGTATTGTCACCTCACCTAAAGACAAAGCTGAGTTGTTTGCCAAGAACTTTACATGAATATCATCTCTTGATGCCACTAGTTGCGTTCTACCTGATATAGCCGTCAAACAGGTTGATCCATTGCTCGACATTCGTATCACTCCAGCTTCTGTATCTAAAGTGATTTCCCGCTTAGACTCTTCTACAGCTTGCGGCCCGGACAACATACCTGTTATAGTCTTGCAGAAGTGTTCTCCGGAGCTGTCGTCTATCCTTTCAAAACTATTTAACCAGTGCTTATCAGAGTCTTGTTTTCCAGCCTGCTGGAAAGCAGCATCTGTTATCCCTATTTTTAAAAATTCTGGAGAGCGATCTGATTCGTCTAACTACCGTCCCATTAGTCTTCTTCCTATCATAAGCAAGGTTTTTGAATCTTTAATTAACAAACACTTAATCTCTCATCTCGAATCTCATAACCTAATTTCTGATCATCAATATGGATTTCGATCTTCTCGTTCTACGGCTGATTTGCTAACAGTAATAATCGATAGGTTTTATCGCGCATTAGATAAAGGTGGAGAGGTTAAGGCCATTGCTCTCGACATTTCTAAAGCGTTTGATAAAGTTTGGCATGCTGGTCTTCTCCATAAGCTTTCTTCTTACGGTGTATCTGGAAACATCTTTAAGATTATTGAATCCTTCCTTTCCAATCGTAGTATAAAAGTTGTCGTTGATGGACAGCGCTCTTCTTATTATTTTGTAACCTCAGGGGTTCCTCAAGGTTCAATCCTTGGCCCTATACTCTTTAATTTACATTAACGATCTTCCAGATATTCTCACATCTAAGGTGGCATTGTTCGCTGATGATACTACCATTTATTATTGTCACAATAAGAAGCCAACTCCCTCTGATTGCTTGCAGGGGGCATCTGAGCTTGAAAAGGATCTCACTTCTGCTACAGCATGGGGCTCACAGTGGCTGGTGAACTTTAACTTAGATAAAACTCAATTTTATTCGGCCAATCGTTATCGTAATAATTTAGATCTTCCTATATTTGTGAACGGTAATGTACTCGATGAGTCTCCTACCCTTTATCTTCTAGGATTAACTCTTACTTCTGATCTTTCTTGGAAACCTTATATCAAATCCGTTTCAAAATTAGCATCTGCTAAAGTTGCTTCTCTTTATCGAGCTCGTCACTTTCTTACTCTGGATTTTACTTTCTATCTTTATAAATCTCAAATCCGGCCTTGTATGGAATACTGTTGCCATATCTGGGGCGGATCTTCTAATGATGCCCTTTCTCTTTTAGACAAGGTGCAAAAACGCATTGTAAACATAGTTGGACCTGCTCTTGCAGCCAACCTTCAACCTCTGTCACATCGTCGTAATGTTGCTTCTCTTTCTCTTTTCTACAAATACTATAATGGGCACTGCTCTAAAGAGCTAGCGTCTCTTGTGCCATCTACTAAAATTCATTCTCGTGTTACTCGTCATTCAATTAAGTCTCATCCTTTTTCTGTTACTGTTCCTAAGTGCTCAAAAAACTCTTATTCGTCTAGTTTTTTTCCTCAAACATCAGTTCTTTGGAATTCGCTTCCATCATCTTGCTTTCCTGATTCATATTATTTGCAATCTTTTAAGTCGTCTGTCAATCGTTATCTTGCTCTATAATCTTCATCTTTTCTCTTCCAGTAACTTCCAACACTAATTAGTGGTTGCTTGCAGCCTTGTTGGAAGCGAAGATAATTAAAAAACAAAACAAAAAAAAACAAAGGTTTAATAACAATTTGGCTGGTTTATAAAAGATGACAACTATCACAAAGCAAAATGATTGCTCAGTCCAGACTGGCACAAACTGGCAAAATATTTTGTTTGATGCTAGTAATATGCATTAAGTTATTTTGAAGTTAGATATCCTTTACATTGCTTTATATGCTACTATTTTTATACAAACAACGAAATAGAGAATTTATATAGTTTGAAAAATAGCCTGTACAGTCAAGCATAAAAAAAAAACAATTTTATTTTTTATAAGAATATTTTGATGATCAATTATACATCTATATAAATATACAAAAAATGTGACATAGGCTTTTCTTACCTTATAAATAGAATGAATTTAAAAATATCGCTGCAATATTAAAAAAAAAAAAAAAAAAAATATATATATAAAAGAATAACTTTTAACATTAACTTTTAACGGAGCTCTTATATTTTGCGGTTAGTTATTACTATGTAAACTTCATGTATTATCATAAATAATATGATTTTCGTAATATATATTTAACTAATATTAAAAAAAAAAAGTTATATATTTTTTAAACTTTATTTTTTAGGTTTTGCCGGCTTTTGACCTACTGTGCAATGAAGAAAAAAGAAATCGTTGGATAAATTTTAAAAAACAGATCATTTCGTTAATAGGCTTAGCAATTTCATAAAGAGCAGGATATTTATCGCGACCGATAATGTTCCAATAATTTCGCGAGTTCATCTTGAATATTGTTTCCTTTCTTCTCTCAGGCAGCACAGAAATTTCTCCTATATAAGCAATCAAATCATCCTCAGCAGGGCAGCAATTTCAGGTTTGATCTTTTTGGCGAATTCAACTGTAGCAGTAATAAAATCGGTTTTATCTTCATTCAAATATAAACCTTCTGCGGCATTTTTGGGCGTTAATATGAAAGCAATTCCAATACATGGTGTAAAGAGAAAATCGAGGTGAGATTGCACTTTTTGTTGTATGTCTTTATCGTCCATATATAAATGGTACATTTGACCAAAGTAATCATACACGAGAGACAATGGAGCTGTATCACTTTCTAGCTTTCCGATCACGTTGGAAGGAAATTCAATGCTTTTGACAAGCTTAGAGAGACGGTCCCAAAATGGGTTAGATTTTATCAACGCCATAACAGCAGCAGATGTATTCTTTGGTTGAATTTCCTTCAGTAATGGACTTTCTTCGTCTACCAACTTAATAAGAACGTATTTTGATAGCTGGAGACCGCTCATTGATTTAAAATAACTAAACTATCGTGTAGATACAGGCATGGACAATGAAAAAGAAATATTTGCTGCAATTCGTCTTTCATCAAACTTTGCTTTCACGTGATGATTTTTCACATATTTGATGATTTTCTCTGCATCTTTGACTGTTTTTGTGGCCTCAATTGTAGAAACTATGTCCTTCACAAGCAAGTTGAGTCCATGAGCTCCGCATCCGCTAGCCGAGATAGGTGTATATTTTTCCTCGATGATCCTCCACGCTGATTTCATTACAGGAGCGTTGTCGCTTATGAAACCGGTAAATTTTTGTGAGCCAATCTTCTCAATAACTTGTAAGATTGCTGCAGCAACTGCAGATGAATTTTGAATGATTCCGGATGTATTTATCGAGGTGTAAAAAAAAGGCTTCTGCTCGGGCGCTTTAATACAAAAATTCACTATGTGATCGCCTCTTATGTTCGTCCAGCCGTCAGACATCAGTGCTAGTTTGTTTCAGAATTCAAAATTTCATTTACATAAATAGAACATTTTGTGTATGGTTTGTCGAGCAGAGATCCTGATAAGGCTTTAGCTTTCGGGATGACAGATGCGTACGATGGATTGAGCGACTTCACAAAGTCCTTAAAGACTCCGATTCCACGTCGGCGCCGACGTCTGCGCAGATATGCGCATATTATGTCTGCGCAGATCTGCGCAGATGCATTTGCCGAACCCTAGTTAATACCTGTTTACTTATTTTAACCCAATAGCAATGATCAACAATCAAACAACAACAACATTTTCTTTGTGCAAAAAAAAACAAAACAATTTTCTTATGTAGCTTTTGACTTGAATTAAAGAGTACTTAATTTTATCATGTTCAACCTATCCATTTCTCTGATCTTTATCCTATATTGCGACAGGGCGTCCAATTATTCTTCTGCCTGCAAATTAAGGTTATAGACATCATTAGTTGACATTCATTTATATTGATTTACAATTCCTCGATGAATTGAGTATAAAAACAATGAATTACAAATAGTAAAACTTCTTATAATTGATGATAAAAATGACACTGAAAGACTGTCATATGATATCTATTGTATTAAGGATGTCATGTCCGATATTGGTTTGAGAGAACGACATTTAAAATACTACAGATGTTTTTTTGTAAATATTTTGAAAAAGTTCAAACACTAGTGATCATACTTCTCTAATTCTGCAGGAGGTTATGATTTAATCGAATAGCAATTGTTTAGTCTCTGCAGGTTATGATTTACGATTGTTATTGTAATCACATAGAGTGAAATATCTATATGATTTCAAGATTTCATTGACGGCCTGAATCTTTGCGATATTTAAATTTTATCTTATTATGCCAACTCAGCATTTCAGTTTGTAGCTACAGTAAATTACATTATTAAAATCTTTTTTAGGTACCTAAAAAAAACAAATGGCAAAAAAGCTTCTCTTACGTTAAAACGTTTAAGTTTTTATTCACTATAAGAATTTTGTATTACCAAATAAAATGACCATCAAGAAAACACAAAAAACATTTAACAAATATTTACATTTTTTGTACAAAATCTACAACCGAGGAAAAAAGTAGAAAATAATTTAATTGCACCCAACAAAATTCGTAAAACAAAAATGCAGGACATTTAAAAAATAGAATCTGAACAAAAAAACCTGATTAAAAAAAAACTGTTAGAAAAAACTTATAGTAATAAAAATAAACGCGTTAATGATTTATGGAAAAAATATTGCTTCACAAAATTTAACTTTTTCATGTCAAAAGCAATATAAAGTTTGCGTTTACTATCAAAATTCTATCGCCATATTGCGTTGAATATTTTCGGTTTTGTGAAACATTAGGTACCAATATATAGTCAATTATTTTTTTCACAAAATCTGCTTAAAAGGCAATTGAGCAAAAAATCACTTTTTAAACGCTATATTTTTAAATGCATTTATACGTTAAACGCCCCTTGTAACTGATTGGTCTAGCACTATTTCGAATTCCGTTAACGAATCTAATACTCCAACAAGAAAGCTGAAACGATTAGTATCGAGAAAAAATGACCAAGGTTCATACATTTGTAACGTAACAGAAGATTGGTTTAATAAGCGAAGCCAACTTTGCAAATGACGATCCCTGAAAAGTATTAAAAAAACAAAACAACAACAGATTGTAAAACTTGACGCAACTTGATTGGTCGGAAATAAAACAAATGTTTCTTTACCTCAAACCTAAACATATAAACAGTTCAAATTTCTGTTCCTTTCCAATAGCAAGTTGTGCAGTATCAATAGTTTGAATTATTGTGCAAAAAGAACTGCGAAGTTGAAGAGCGTTCGCTGAAATATTAGAATCATCAGCGTATACGTAATCATCAAACACTTTTTCTATGGAGAAATAATTATTTATAAATAACTTCAATTCTTGATTGTTATTTAAATATTATTAAATTTTAATCCTTTCTTACAATTAGTGTAACTGTGTGTAACTATGTAATTTATTAAGATATAAATATATATATATATATATATATATATTTATATATACTTAAAAATACATATATATATATATATATATATATATATATATATATATATATATATACATATATATATATATATATCGAATAGCAATTGTATAGTTTCTGCAGGAGGTTATGATTTACGATTGTTATTGTTATTGTAATCACACACACACACACACACACACACACACACACACACACACACACACACACACACACACACACACACACACACAGACTCCTTGACTGTAGCGATGATGACGATGATGATGATGATGACTGTAGTGGCTTTGGAGAGGTGAACTACATTAAAAAATTAAAAGTAAGTACTTGAAGTAATTTGATAAATGAAGTAATGCTTATAAAAAAAAAGTTTATAGATTCAAACAGGTATCACTAAGGTAAAAATAACAAAGGTAAATATCTATAAATATCAATGAGGCAAATATCATTTATTTCTACTATCAATATAATGAAAAAAATTTCCATGTTACAAAAATTTAACTCACTGATGTAATCCCAAACAAAAAGTTTCTTTGCAAACAGTCTTGTTGATTTATAGCCATGTAAAAACACTAGCTTCATTGCTTCACAAAATCCACCTTCACCACACATTAAAAATGTCATATTTTCCTTTAAATAAATAAATACATTTTCATTATGATCATCATCATCATCATCATCATCATCATCATCATCATCATCATCATCATCATCATCATCATCATCATCATCATCATCATCATCATCATCATCATCACCATCATCACCATCATCATCATCATCATCATCATCATCATCATCATCATCATCATCATCATCATCATCATCATCATCATCATCATCATCATCATTGTCATCATCATCATCATCATCATAGACAGACTTTTTGATCAAGTTACCTCGCTATCTTTATAAAAATATTTGACAATATTATTAACAGCATCTGCCATTTTCTCTTGTATATCTGACGCTGTCACTGAAACAAACAAGTTTCAATCATCAAAAGCTACTTTTTAAAAACTGATACTAAAAAAAAAAAAAAAATTCACACAAATTTTTTTTTACACTTTTGATTTGGAGAGCAATTCCTGACAGAGGAAGCATTTGTTGGAGAAGTACGACCAAAAGAAGAATTATGTTCTACAGAAATTATACTAAACATTATCATTGGACGAAAAGATTATGACATAAAAATTAAAACAAAACAAAACAATCTCACAATAAACACAACAAAACTAACTTTGAGTGGGTTTTCTTTCACTAAAGTGATTTTGCATGGATGCAATCAAAAGTCTTTCTGTGCTACCATCATCTTCATTTTTTGACAACCATCTACCACATTGAAACCTTTTTTTTTAAAAAAAAAAAATTATTCAATTCTAGCAAAATATTTTTTTTCAATATTGCTTTTCAAATTATTAATATGAAAATTAGATTTTAGGGGCAAGTGAGGGCTGAATGACGATACTCCTTAGCTGTGCTGAGGACAGCTTACCTAGGATAAAAAAGAGTTCTGATTCAAAATCACAATTTAATTGTGAGTAAAATTAGGAAGAACTAATAAAAATCATAAAAATACTTAGTTCTGTAAAACAAGTTAACACTAGAAGTATTAGAAAGGGTGTTGAGTTATAAGATAAAAAAATTCAATTCATTTAAAACACTTTTTAAATAAGAAAGTGTCAGTATGGACCCAAATCACAGAATTATGGACACTAAACATAAAAAAAAAATTGCATAATGAAAATAATGATTTTGAAAATACCTGTACATATGCCCAGTAACTTCATTTGAAACAATTACATATTCAACAAACCACCCTGGTGAAATACCTGTAAAATCCATGTAAAATATATGTTAATAAAGAAATTTCTTTGCAAGAGGAAGATGCATTTATGACATAGTTTGTTAAAAAAGTATTGATATGTATAAAAAAGTTTGATTGAATCGCCTGATTAAATACAATCTTGATTGCCCAGTTAAAATGCGGTAGCAGTTTAGAGAGCATGTGCTTTGTAAACATGAGGTTAAGAGTACAAATAAACCACAACCCTACATGTGATGTGCTTAAAAACGTCAACACAGCAGCCTTGTTTGTCAATGTTCTTATTTTGATATTTGAAGTTTTTTCAGAAGAGAGATATTTAACAAGAATTAAGAGAAAGAAAAAAGTCTTTTTGACTAAAGTGGCCATTAGACCTTAGAGTAAAAAAAAAATACATCAACTTAATAAAAATTTTACTTAATAAAAGTTTTTCGATTTCAATTAGTGATCAACTGAAACAGAAAAATTTAGGGTAATCTAGAGTATCAAAATTTGGGGTACTCTAGTTCGGTGCTGAAACCAAAACCAACATTTTGGCTAGTTAAAATTAATTTTATTAGAATATTTTATTTAAAAATGCAATTTTACATTTGTTGTCTTATTACACGTGTACTATGTTAAAAATAATTATGTGTTTCACAAATTTAGATTTAATACATAAGTTGGCAAATTTAATTGCAAAAGTTAACAACGGGCAGATTTTTTCAGCAAAAAGATTTTTTTGAGGAATTTTGTGGAAATTCTCAAAAATAACTATTTTTCTATATTACATAAAAAATTTAAAATCTTACTAATTTTTTGGTTTCCAGTATGTATTTTAATTAAAATTTTGCTTTTTACCAAATTTATAAAAAGTAACAAAACCAAAATTTCAGTATTGGTTGAAATTTTGGTTGAAACCGATACCGAAACAGAATTTTATATGTCTATATGGATAGGGCAGGGTCAATTACAAATATATCAAAAATACCACAAGTGTTATTTTTGTAATCTGATATATCTGATTTTAGATTATTTTGTGTTTTTTTTTCAAAAGATGATGGGAATGGTCAATCCCACTCATTTTAATACATACAATTGTAGTAAAATATGTGTAGTCATCACTTGTAGTAGTCACTTCTTGGAAACATTATTATTGATGCAATTTTGAAGAAATCTTAATGATTCATAAATCTAAATTTTTATAAAAAAACTTCAAAATTAAAATAATCAAACTAACCTGATTTCCAAAAAAGTAGTAAAAAAAGTTAAACAATGAATTAAAAATAATTTTTATATAACAAACACCTGATATGTTTGTCAGTATTAACAAAAGGAATTCTTGCTTTATGCCAAATTTATCTATATATATATATATGTATATATATATATATACATATATATATGTATATATATATATATATGTATATATATATGTATATATATATATATATATATATATATATATATATATATATATATATATATATATATATGTATATATATATATATATGTATATATATATATGTATATATATATGTATATATATATATATGTATATATATATATATATATATATATATATATATATATATATATATATATATATATATATATATATATATATATATATATATACATAGACAGGTCTCTAATATTTTGAAAAAAAAAGTTTTTTAAAAACATATCATGATGGGTCTCAAAAGAAGTGAAAATTTATAAAACATCCAAAAAAATAAATAAATAAATAAACAATATATAAACGCAATTATCAAATTATCCATAAAAATTATCCATAAAATTTGTATTCACTTTACTAAAACTTTTTTTCATCAAAAGATCACCTACCTGTAGATTTCAACTCATTTGTTTATAATAAATTATTTAAATCTGTCATTTCTCAGTAGTACCATATTTGTTAAAAACATAGTCTAAAATTTTTCGAAATTCTTGTGAAGAAATTAGTTGAAAGTGAAATTATTTTTGCAAAAAAATTAAAATTGAAAAACTTTTTTTTTGATGTATTGGATTCTTCCAATACATCAAAAAAAAGTTCAGCCTGCAAAAGTACAAAAGTTCAGCCAGAAGAAGCCTGCAAAAGTTCAGCCTGCAACATCAAAAAAAGCAGTCTGCAAAGTCTAACTCTGCATACTAGAGACACTAGGAGAGATAATAAAAGCATGCTGGGAAATATATTTGTCATTTTGCGGTTGTAGACTAAATCCTGGGAAACTCAATATATTTGTCATTAAGTAGTAGAACACTTGGCTAACAATCATGAGGTTCTGAGTTCAAAGCCAGGTTGAGTGCATTCAATCTGCTTTTCTGTCAGCAGCTTCATTAAACAAGGAATATTATGCAGCAATATTTAACAAGGTTAAATATTGTTCAGAGTTTAGAGTTAAGAGAAAGTTGCAAATAAAATCAGGTTTAAAAAAAAAAAACCATAATTGCTGACTGTAATAGCACTGGAGCCTCAAGGAGGTAAATTAAAAAAAAAATTAAAATTTTTATAAAAGAACATTTATATTTACCCATGTTGTCATGACCAATACGTAGAGCTGTTAAAATACCAAGATTTTTATGCTAAAAATTAATTTAACTTGTATTAACTTAAAATAATAATACAAATCAAAAAAAAAACTCCCCCACCAGTGCTGATAAAAATTTGGTCCCAGCTGTCTAAAAATGCAAAAAATTCAAGTTTTTGCATTAATGGTAGGGGAAGGGTCACTTAATAAAATTTCAAAAATACCATGAGTTATTTTTGTAACTTGATCTATCTACTTTTAGATTATGTCTTGTTTTTTGGTAAAAATGATGATCTTAAGAGTTAACCATTTGCAATAATGTGCATATTTTAGAGGTTGGGGGGGGGGCTTTTTAATATATATTTTTCATGTACTTTAAATATAAAACATTTTTGTAATTGTAGAAGAAAGACTTTATGGTTTTTATCTGAGATTTTTTATCAGTTGTTTTAAATTTTAAACAATGTAGAACAAAAAGACAAGTGGCAAATTTTTTAAAAATCTTTTATAATCTGGAAATAAGTATATAATATATAGTGATATCAAATTTTATCTACACATAGCAAATAGTAGCAATAAGTTCCAGTTTGATGAATTGCTTTCTCAGCCATTCTGTCTAAAGTGATGTCTTTTTTAAAAAATCAAAGAAAAATCAGTTTTCAGGTCCAAAAAATCTTTAATTGTTATATAACTTGCAGACTTTTCTGTTTGAATTAATTCAAGAGCTTAGTTTACAGATAATGAATAAAAATAGGAACTATATACTTATAAAAATATAACTATAAACAAATTTTCTAAAAAGCTGGAGATACAGTCTATTTTATTATCTCCATTATCACAAGTATTTAAACATTTTATTGTCTCCTCAAATTTTTTACTAAACAACCTTTATTTGTTTCCTAATGGACTCTTATAACCTTTAAATTTTTTTCATACTTAATTTTCTATTTTGCAAAACTTTTTTTGCGCAACATTTTTTTGAATCATTTTTTTTTCCTTTCTGATCATAGAGAAAATTTACATCTTCTTGTCTACATTTTAAAACTTGTGTTTTATCTTTCAAGATATGAGTTTTTCTATTTTTCATTAAATAAATCTTCCTCTTTTAAAACCACATTTTTGCCTTATTCTTTTTAAGTCAACATTCTTGTCTCAAAATGGCATATCAAGTAAAAGAATTCATTAAAGATATTATTAACTAAAAACATTTATATAATGATATTTTTATCATAAAAGCATATTACTATATTATTAAGCCAACTTAAATTTGGAATTAATACATAGGATAACCTCGGTAATACAGTTTACTTATTAAGCAAGTTTTATTGGCTATTTATTACAAAAATAACACTCATGGTATTATTGAAATTTTGTTAAGTGACCCTGCCCCTACTGTAAATGCAAAAACTTAAATTTTTTGCATTTTCAAACAGCTGGGACCAAATTTTGATCTGCATTAGTGGAGGAGTTTTTTTCGATTTGGAAAAAAGTATTATTTTAAGTTAATACAAGTAAAAATTCTTTTGCCGCTATGCCATTTCAGAAAAAAAATGAAATGTGCTTTTTAATCATACCCCTAATATATATATATATATATATATATATATATATATATATATATATATATATATATATATATATATATATATATATATATATATATATATATATATATATATATATATATATATATATATATATATATACACACACTATTAGAATAATAATATATATATATATTAGAATAATAATATTAATAATAATAATAATAATATATGTATATATATATATATATATTTATATATATATATATATATATATATATATATATATATATATATATATATATATATATATATATATATATAATTAGATTAATACTTTATTATTATTCTAATATAATATATATTTGCTCTACTTTAGTAATGAGCACTGTCTACCGAAAAATTACTTTTTTACTGGTGTATATATATATATATATATATATATATATATATATATATATATATATATATATACATATATATATGTATATATATATGTATATTCCTTTATATACAAATTTATATAAATATAAATGTATATAGAGTTTATAAATAAAAAATAAATAAAGATAAACTTTATAGTAATATAACTGTATTATTTATAATATTCGTACTTTAAACCGAAACTCTATTTCACCCTTTGGAATATTTATTGTGCCAGTGTTTCCAAAGCTTCCAGTAAGATTTAACCAACAGTTAGCAGTTGTTGCAAATCCTATGTGCTTTCCAAGAACTACATGAAACTTGTAAATCATCACTAAATTGATTTTTTGATATTTTTATAAGTTATTTGATATTTTTATAAGTTATTTTTATTATATAAAGCTCTACAAAACAAAACAAAAAAAATTCTACAATACAAAACCTGTATTTGAAAATCCATTGGTAAAACAGTAAAAGTCTACTGCATTTAATGAAAGAAGATGGATCAGAAATTGCTCCATTTCATCTTCAGTTCTTATAAAAGCATAATTTTTGTATCTTGCTCTAAATTGTAAAATATTTACATTTTAAAACATTGTTAAAAAAAATTAAAATTTAAAAAAATGGTATGCTAAATCAAAAACTTGTATACAATGGAGAGGAGAGAAGAAAATAATGTTAAATAAACAAATATTAAAAATCTACTCCAAAATCTTTTTCTGATCAAGCAAAATTCGTAATTCTTCTGCCAATGTTTTTTTCTCTAAAGCTAATCTTGTCCAAGCACGAGCATAACCTGTATCTGTCTTTATTTCCTTCATATCTATTATTGTTCTAAAGCAAATAATAACATTTTTTAACAAAAGAAAAAAAAAAAAAAAAAAAAAGTTAAACAGAGAAACTTACTTGAGATTATTTAGAAAATGAACTTTTGTTAACAAATCTTGATGTTCTCTGGACTGAAAAAGAGATGTCGTTGGAGATTTATTGACTCCTTCAAATTTTGCTTCTTTTATTGTTAGTTGATCAAAGTATGTTCCATCTTCATTGGCTGGAGATTTACTACGAAATGATTTTTGATTTGCTTCATTAACAAGATTCTTCATCTCTCCTAAAAATCATTGTAAATTTATTTAATAATGCACAAAACTGCATATAATACATAAACATTGAAAATATTTACCTGGTACACATTCAACATTTGCAATCCCATATATAGCAGCCAATTTTGAACACTCCTTTTGATAAAATGCCAGTAAATGAGACCATAATGCAGATTTTGACTAAAAATATTAACTTTTAATTAATGTATATTAAAATTTATATATATATATATATATATATATATATATATATATATATATATATATATATATATATATATATATATATATATATATATATATATATATATATATACTTTACGACTAAGAAAATGTGTTTGTAGTAAAAAATAGCTCTTCACTTGTTTGTAGTTATAAAGCTGAAAAAATTAAAGTTAGATTATGTCAAAACATAATCTAACTTTAATTTTATTTTAATTTTATTTACATCAACTGACAAATAGCCAGAAATTTTATTATGCTATAAAGCTGACAAAATTAAAGTTAGATTATGTCAAAACATTAATTTAATTGCAGGAAGTAATTAAACCACAAATTAAAAGATTAAAATGTTTTTAAAAACATTCTGAATGTTTTTATTTTATTTTTTAAAAATAAAAACATTCTGAATCTTTTTTTTTAATTATTCAACTGTAAAACATTGGCGGAGTGTTGCTACATCAACTATCGTCTAACCTGACTTGCAACAGAGTGCTGCTACATCAACTGACAAATAGCCTGACTCGCAACGGAGTGCTGCTACATTGACTGAGGGTTTGGTTTGGCCAGGCAGTTTATCAAATAATTAAATTAAAAAAAAATTATTTTTTTTCGGTCTTTAAAATTAAAAAAAAACCTAAAACTGACATTTTATGGTAAAAACTTAAAGACGACCATGCAAGAGTATATATATATATATATATATATATATATATATATATATATATATATATATATATATATATATATATATATATATATATATATATATATATGAATTTGATTTTATTTAGAATCAATAAATTTACAATCAAGTATAATTTAATTTTTTTTCACAAAATTTAATAATACTATAAATTAGACAATCATTAATTATAAAGTATATTGACAAAGAAATGCAACACCAGGCATCTATTATCTAATATGTAGGGCAAATTGTCGACGAGACAAGTTGTCTATGATGATAGGAAACCTTTGAATAAGTTGACCGTGTGAGTGTCAATTGCTTCTTGTGGTAGTATATTCCAGGAGGGTGTGACTCGATTAGTAAAAAAGTGATGTCGCTCTTCGCAGTTGCTAACAAAAGAGGAAACTTTTGTTGCTCTGCGCTGAACTCTTTCAAGCAAAATAATATCTTTTTTAAGGTGAGGAGACCATGCTTGAATAGCGAATTCCAAGTGGGGACGCACATATGTGATGTAAAGCTTTCACCAGAGACAAATGTGTGAGTTTTGAAATTGAGTGGGCCCAATTTGTAATTGGCAATTGAGACTGCAGACTCCAGTTGGGCACAGACTTTGAGATCATTTGATATCAGAACACCTAGATCTCATTTAGTTTCAGTTTATTTCAGGTTTCAACAAGTGCCTTCTGTGTTTGTCATTAAGTAGACTTGATTAGATTTTCTGCGACCTCAACTGACATCCATTGTTTTGCATTTTTCCACATTTAAGAACATCAACCATTTGTGAGACCAGTTTATGGCATGATCAATATCTGATTGTAAAGCTAGCATATCTTCATTCGATTTTATGATGTTCATAATTTTACAATCATCTGCGTATAGCTTAAACTGGCTTGTAATGTTGTCTGGTAGATCATTTATAAATAGTACGAAAAAGAGTGGTCCGAGGACACTTCCTTGAGGGACACCACTTGTGACCTTTTTCCAATCTGATGTGAATAATTCAGCAGTTGAATGAGTACCAATGACAACACACTGTTGTCTATTGTTGAGTCAAGTATTTATCCACATTAATGTTTTCGCGTTGATGCCATATGCTTTCAATTTGCTCAATAGGCAATTGTTTGGGACTTTATCAAATGCTTTTGCAAAATCAGTGTAATCACATCGACTGGATACTTTTTGTTTGCGCTTCTGTGCGAGTTTCAAGGAGATTAGTCAAACAGCTTTTCCTTTGAACAAATCCATGTGTGTGTGTGTGTGTGTATGTATATATATATATATATATATATATATATATATATATATATATATATATATATATATATATATATATATATATATATATATATATATATATATATATATATATATATATATATATACATTTATATATATATATATATACATATATATATATATATATATATATATATATATATATATATATATATATATATATATATATATATATATATATGTATATATATATATATATATATATTTATATACATATATATATATATATATATATATATATATATATATATATATATATATATATATAAATATATATATATACTCTCTCCTACTTGGCGTTTATGGGGACATTTTATTTTATTCCCATAAAAACTATTTTTTTTGCTATTTTAAAATAAATTTTACTTTTTTTTGATACTTTTATATTATGTCTTTTCTTATTTATAGATATTTAAAATTAATATATTTTTATAAAAATATATTTTTTAAAACTATTTTTGTTATTTGATTTAATTATTATATATTATATTTCATACCTTTTTTCATCTATTTACAAATATGATGAAGTACTATAATATAACTATATTTAAACTTAAATAACCTTAACACTGACTCTGACCCTAACCAAACCCTCAGTTGATGTAGCAGCACTCCTATTAACAGCACGCTAAGTTAGTCAATGTATGTACTTTTCACTTTTTCTAAAAGTTGCGTATGAAGATCATTTTTTACATAAAAAAAAGTATACTTCAGGGACAAAAAATTTACAGGTTAACAAAATTGCCCCCGATAATCTCATTTTAGTATTAATTATCTAATATTAATATTAATAAACAAAACAGACCATTTTAAAACCATTTTATTAACAAAAATAATTAAACTTTTATTAATATAAATAAATAAAAAAATAAAAAATATGAAATAGTTAAATAAAAATACTTTAAATTTTGCTAAATGCCTATAAAAAGAAATTAAAAAAAAAAAAAATACAAAATTTAATCATCTGTGTACAAACTATTAATAATTTAATTACAAAATACAATAGAATCTATTTCAAAATTTTAACATCACACTAAAAAAATAATTGGAAGCAATAAAAGAATAGGTTAAAAAAGATACACAGTATGTATAAAAAATAATTAAGTTGAAGAAAGTTCAAACAGAAAGTGTCATTTGGCCATGTTATTAATCTGTTCAAATCAGGTTTTAACCATTCTATGAACATACTTTCTTATGAACATACTTTCTTATGAACATACTTTCTTTTGAACATTTTTATGTTTCAACTCAAACTAACCGAATCTAAAACAAAAAACTGCATGAAACAATTTTCATTAGCAGAAAGATGTTTATAGATAAAAGACTTGCAATGTTCAGATGAGATGGCAAGTAATTTTGCCTATTTGTCATATATATTGTTATATATCAATGTTCATCTTGAGATGGCGAGTAGTTTTGCCTATTTATTTAGAATTAAATCCTGTAAATAAACAAACATTTATCACATCATGTGATAAGCTTGCACATCAATGTTCTAATTTAAGAAACTATTGAAGTTTTTTATTGCAGTTCAATTATGTTCAATAATAAAATCTGTATTTCTTTAAAAAGGATTTTGAAAAAATATTTAATTTCACTATTTTTCAAACACATTTTCTTGTTAAACGACAATCTTATGATCAAATTGACAATGTAGCTATGGGCTTGCCACTAACACCTTTTCTTGCTAATTTGTTCATGGGTCAGTTTGAAATGAATGGATTAAAAGTTACAATTATGTAAATCCAGTTTTTTATAAACAATATGTTGATGATATTTGCACTGCTATCCAGTCAGAAAATGAAGCACATCTTTTTTTAATTATACAAATAATATATAATAAAAGTAATTTTTTTACTATGGAACATGGTGTAAAGTAAAAAATATCTATTCAGACATAACTTTAGACTGTTTATTCTTAAGTCAGAACTACTGTTTTTCACAAAAAGACCTATTCTGGTCTTCACAAAAAGATTTTTATAGTTTCCTCCATTTTCATACAAAGTTAGTCTTATTTAATGCTTAATTGATGTTCAAAATCAATAATAGAAAACTTGGGTTTTACTTCTTTTCACCCTAAATCGAAACCTAACTTGGGTTTAACTCTGACATAAAGAACCTTTTTAAAGTATTTTAAAGAAACCTCTATAAACATGTATTCACATATCCACCAGAGTAAATCCAACCTTCAATTATCAAATGACAGAGTATTAAAATTAGTTTTTCCTGTAATTTAGATCTTGAAACTCATTTATGTAATGCAGAATAATCTATGACTCATAGTCAAAGACAAGAATTTAATTTGAGGAATATTACTGAACAGAGTTACTGAACCAACATTACTAAACATTCTGTATGTTTAATAAGGTTGGTTCAGTAACCTGTTGTTTAAAAAATATTTTTTAGACAGATATTTAAAATTTTGTATTAATTGTTGACCTTATAATAAATTGCAATATAACATGTAATCAGTTTTTTTAAATTAAATCTAAAATAAATAAAAAACAAAAAAAACCCATAAAAATACACATAAATCACAAAAATAAAATGCAAAAAAAAAAAACAAAAAAAAACGTTTTTTTTTTGCAACTCTACTTACAACTCAAAGCAATGCACCCTCCCATGACCCTACTTTTGTGTGGTCATGGGAGTCATCTGACTCACAAAGTTATAAATCAACGTACAAAAACAATATCATAAAGTTGTGCTTACATACTGAACATAATAATTCACCCACTCCCCTCCTCACAACACACAAGCCATGCCTTGCAGCTGATGATGTGAGACTTTTCTACTTCTCAAAGTGGCAGAAGTTCAAAAGATTAACAAGAATTAATTTATGGATTTGGCTTATTTTTCATAAATTTGCTTTATATTTACCTTAAATTCTATCATAAATTTTGAGTTGATTTTTCTACATACACATGAGAGTTTTCTGATAATTTTGTTGAATATTAAAAAATGATTTTTTTTGCATATTATTTACCAAAACTAAATTTTGCACAAAATAGTGTTTATAGATTAAATCTGAATCTCACTTACCAAAGCTATTTTTTGTTAATTTCAATAATGATAAATTTTAAATAGCAATAACACAGGCCTACAAAAAAAAAAAAAGTTTTTTGATGCCTAAGATTTAATAATTGATTTTAGCTATATTTTTGTTGCTGAAAATTGAGATTTAAAAACAATTTTTTTTTCTCTATCAGCTCTAGTTTTTGAGGTAAATTTTAGGTGCGATTTTACATGAAACTAACAGTTTTAACTCCATTTAATAATGTTATAACTCGTATAGACAATGTTTGGTTACTGTATTCTATATACTTGTTATATATTCAGTTTATTGGTCTGTTTGCAACAGGAAAATCCACTAGGTGGAGTAACCATTCTGTAAATTAAGTGAACTTCAACTATAATTGAGATTAGTTTGAGAGTTGTTGCCGTGCGGAATAGATGAAAGTTGGTGTCGCGTGATATTTCTATTATTAAGTTAACTTGAATAGTATTGTGTTGTAAATTGTTCTTGCATTTTTGTATTTAGATCTAGATAAAATAAGTTCAAATAGAAGAAGTTGTGTGATGTGTTTTGTCCTGATGTGTTTTGCTACATATTTGGAGAATATATGTTAAAAGAAAACAGAAAAAAAGTTAGTGACTTTTTAAAGAGGGCTTATCTTGCATATTTTGGTATTAGGCTTGGGGATCAAGATAAAACCTGGGCCCCACATCAGGTCTGTAAAACTTGTACAGAACATTTACGACAGTGGACTACCAGGAAAAGAAAAAGTATGAAATTTGGCGTGCTAATGGTTTGGAGAGAACCACGAAACCAATTCAATGATTGTTATTTCTGCATATTAAATATTATTGGAATCAATCGAAACAACCGTAGCAAGTGGACTTATCCTGATTTATTACCTGCAAGACGACCGGTTCTTCACTCAGAGGAAGTTCTAATCCCAACGTTTCTCCAGCTACCAGAGCTCTGCGAGGATGAATATTGTGCTTCTAATTCTTTTGATACAATGAAATTGACAGTGATTATGAGGGAAAGGCATCTATTCCACAACAATTCAACCAAGATGAGTTGAATGACCTTACCAGAGATCTCAATCTATCAAAAGAAGCTTCTGAGTTACTTGCTTCCAGATTGAAGGACAAAAATTTACTGAAACAAGGAACCAAAATTACTTTCTACCGTACATGAGAAAAGGATCTGCTACCCTTCTTCTCTCAAGAAGAGGATCTTGTATTTTGTCACGAAATTAGAGGAAAAGATGAGTCTTCCTAAATATTTTCAAGATGACTGGCGTCTATTTATTGATAGCTCAAAGCGAAGTTTGAAATGTGTTCATCTGCACAATGGAAACAAATTTGGTTCAATACCAATAGCTCATTCAATAAAAATGAAAAAAGAATATAACACCATTGCTTTAATCTTGGAAAAGCTAAAGTATCAGCAACATCAATGGGTGATTTATGTGGACCTAAAAATGGTTAACTTTCTCCTGGGACAGCAAGCTGGTTACACTAAATATCCTTGCTTTTTGTGTCTCTGGGTTAGCAGGGACAAAACACACCACTGGTCTAAAAAAGAATGGCCTAAGAGAAAAAACATGGAAGTTGGGAAAAATAATTTAATTAACAACGCCTTAGTTGAACGAGATAAAGTCATTTTTCCTCCACTGCATATCAAGCTTTGCCCTATGAAGCAGTTTGTAAAGGCTCTTGATAAAAATGGATCATGTTTTGAATATATAGGGGAGAAGATGCCACAGTTGAGTACAGAAAAAATTAAAGCAGGAGTATTTGATGGTCCGCAAATAAGACAATTTATTAATGACTCTGCTTTCGTGAATTCAATGAATAAAACTTAGCGAAAGGCTTGGACTTCATTTGTTGCAGTTGTTAGAAATTTTCTGGGCAAACGCAAAGATGAAAACTATTTTAAACTGGTTGACGACATGCTTAGCAGTTTCAAATCCCTCGGATGTAATATGAGTATTAAGGTGCACTATTTACACAGCCATTTAGATCGTTTTCCTAAAAACTTAGGAGACATGAGTGAGGAGCAAGGTGAAAGATTTCACCAAGATATTAAAACTATGGAGGATTGGTACCAAAGAAGATGGGATACGCACATGATGGCGGATTACTGCTGGAATTTAAAAAGAGATTGTTCTAAAATACATTCAAGAATGTCACGGAAAAGAGGTTTCTGGGTTGTTTAGTGACTATAGTTTGTTTCATAAAAAATTTTTCTTTTGTCTTTACATATAATAACTATATATATAATAGAGTGTAATATACCATATAGTTATACATTTCTATAGCATAATAATCAAAATTTAATCAAAATTTCATGTTTATTTTGTTAATTTGATCCCAATCAAAATCCTTTTCAAAAGGATAAAAACCATTTTCATAAAAGGTATAAAATATTTTTGTTTTTCAGGGTAATTTTCATCGCCCCCTAGCCCCCTCATTGGCGCTTCTTATTTCATTAAAATGATCTCAAAAATGCGAGCTGATTGGCAAAATCTAACGGTATATTGAGTTCAGGGCATCAAACTCATATAAAATTTGCTGCAAATACCAAGGCACCAAAATAGCTGTTGGCCTGTATAATATATCATAAATTTTTTTTAAGTGATTCTATTTGGTTTGTTCTCATTTTTAAAATCTTTTTTTTCACTTGACCAGAACTTTTCATTAAGTAACTTGTCCACAAATTTGATTTTTATATATCAAAATATAAATATTTGATATTTATGCAATATTGGTAACAAAATTTAGCCAACATTGAGATAAATATTGTACAAATGTTGCACCTATATTGTTTGCTTCTTGATCATAACTATTCCTCTTATTTCTTGTAGTCTGAACAACTATAATAATAATATTGTGACATAACAATAACAATGCTACATAACAATAATTTGCATTGTTAAATACTGTAACTTATTGTAAAACTAAAAAGTAGAAAATAAAATATAGCAAAAATATTTGCTAAAAATTATATTCTTTTTTGTACTAAAAAGTAAAAAATAAACTTTAAATTTAATAATGTAGTAAAGATCAGGTCTGTTTCAAAATGATTTTTATGCAGACCTGTCAACCTTTAGTTTATATATATATATATATATATATATATATATATATATATATATATATATATATATATATATATATATATATATATATATATATATATATATATATATATATATATATATATATATATATAATTATATATATATATATATATATTTACATATATATATATACACATATACAGTGTTGTCAAAATTATTAGCTACTTTATCAGTATATTTCCTTGAATACTTTAAGAAAACTGACAAACTCTAAGAGTTTTCTATTTTCATTACTTAGTAAACCTTTTTCAACAGAATTTTATTTTTCAAACCAACTGATTTTCAAAACATCAAAATTATTATCTTTCAGAGAGTTTTTCTAGCTTTATTATAAACGAGCATAAAAAACAAACAAACATAGTCAAGAATATTCTTGAATGAACATTTTATAAAAATTGTAAAATATATAGAAGTAAACTTAAATTAATGATAAAGGTCATGATAATGATATGTAATGATAATTGATTATGAAAACAACATATCAATTAAACTAAAATAAAGATTAACATTAACAAAAGTAATCTTAAATACATAAAATATGAAAAGAATTGTCACAAAAAAAGTTTCTGGAATACTATTTTCTGGTCCATCAATTAAAGTTTAATTTGTTTGTACACGATGAACTGATAGCTTTGTGGAAAAATATATAAATATCATTCTAATAGTCAAGTATGGAGTTATTTTTTAATGATGTAGAAGAAATATGTATATATATATATATATATATATATATATATATATATATATATATATATATATATATATATATATATATATATATATATAAATATATATATATATATATATATATATATATATATATATATATATATATATATATATATATATATATATATATATATATATATAATATATATATATATATATATATATATATATATATATATATATATATATATATATATATATATATATATACATATAAACACACATATATATTTATATACACATCCATATGTGTGGTTTATATATTATATATGTGGTTATAAATTTATATTTTATATATACACATATGTGTGTGGTTATTTCAGTAGGACCTATTCGAAAGATATCTTTAATTAAAAGTTCAAGAAAAATAAAGTAACCTTAACAACAAGTTACCTGTCTCATTCTTTGGACAAACTTAGATTTGACTGATTCTTTATCGAAGTCCAACTAAAAGAAATATTTAAAATGTTTAGTAAACTTGTTTAAACCTTAGAGAATTTAATAAAGAATAAAAAACACTATAAAAATATTTGCTACCAGAAAACAATCATTTACATGCCTTGTGTCATCATTTATATATTTGTGTTGAATATTTTATAAATGTGAAAACTGTAATTTATTCATTACAGCTATTGCATTTACTTGTGACTAAATTATATTTGAATTTAAACTATTTTTACAGTTCCTCATTTTGCTGATCAATAATTTAAATTTTTATAACTTTATATAACTTTGGAAAAAACTATTCATATACAAAATTTTAAATTTCTTTGCTTAGTCAGACATGTTTTGTAAACTGAAATATTAGGGTATAAATAAAATGGTAAAACCCTGGGTAAACAAGTTAAAAAATATTAAATCAATGGTTGGGTAAACAAGTCAAAAAATATGGATGTTCTAGCTTTAACAAAGATATAATGTTTGCAAAAAAAGCAATTACAAAAAGAAAAAATAATAATAATTATGAATACCTGATTCAACTGCACACCATGACACCAAACTCTTTCAAGTAAATCACACAAACTAGCTATGAGAGTGTTCTCTTCAATGCCAATTGAGTTAGGGCCAACATGTCCAAGCTCAATAGCTTCTTGACCAAGTTTAAGAACAACAAGTCTTTTAGTCTGCAGAGTGTAAATTCAAAATAATTTTATTTTAAAAAATTTAAGTCAAATGAAAATTGCTTAATAATTTAATAAACTTTTTGACATTTCATTGGTTGACATTTCATTGGTGGATTTATTGTCCTTGTAAATTGTTTGACAAAGTGCGTTTTTAAACAAAAAATTTTCTTATTTTAATTTTAAACAAAAAATTTTCTTATTTTAATTTTTAATTAAATGTATAAATTGTACAAAAAATTTTTTAACAAATGATTAACTTTGTATTTATTTATTATTACTTTATATTAATATCATTTTTTATATTCATAAAAATGATGAAACTGATGGACTCAGAGAACAAAAAAAAAAAAAAAAAAAAAAAAAAAAAAAAATCCAACTGAAACTAAATATTATTATTAACCTTCATCTTGCACTCTTTTAGCAACTTTTCGGCATATACATTTAAAGTTCGTTGTGTAGCTCCTGTTTCATGTGTGTCTTCATTAGACTTGCTTTCCTGCATGTACTTCTAAAAACATAAATTATTGTGTGTATACTTAAAACATAAAAAATTGGTATTTAAAACTTTTAAGATTAACATCAATATATAAACTAACAATATATATCTACACACCAATTGATTAAATCAATTAACATTGTTATATTTACACATCAATTACACATTGTTAGAAACTAACAATCAGTGTGTATATGTGTGTTTAATGTATATCTATATATATCTATATATATCTACATATATCTATATATATCTATATATATCTATATATCTATATATCTATATACCTATATATCTATATATCTATATACCTATATATCTATATACCTATATATCTAAATGTATATCTATATATATATACATATATATATATATATATATATATATATATATATATATATATATATATATATATATATATACACTAACTAAAGCGTATTTTTATAAGCGTTTGCTCACCTTAACCCATACGGCTTTTTTAGAAAATAAAGAAAAAAAACGAAGAATGATGAATGAAACGATTGCTGCCCCATCCCAAACCCTCAGTCGATGTAGCAGCACTCCACTGCAAGTCTGGCTATTTGTCAGTCAATGTATGAACTGAAGGCCCCAGCAGCAGGCTATTTCAGTATGACGTCAGATTGCTTACCTTAGTACGCAATACTATTTGTATATATATATATATATATATATATATATATATATATATATATATATATATATATATATATATATAACTACATATTTTTTACAACTATAAATTTCATACTAAATTAAACATCAGGTAAAAAATCTGATTTTTTCTCATGGAAAAATAATTTTGTACAAAAAAAAAAATGCGTTGGAAAAATCTAATCTTTTGGTTTGTGGTTGTCCAGCAAAAATTAGTTCTCATGGGGGCACTTGGATATTAGCTTGCTTCTTTTGTTTAATAATCTTTGGAATTTTTATACAAATACAAAATTATTATTTTTTTGTATAAGGATAATAGGCATTTTTTAGTTATGTTGTAGGCTTATGGTTCGCCCACAAAGAACAATTAACAATCGAAAAAAAAAAAAGAAAAGCCAACTAAAAACTGCTTTGACACCATAATAGGCTGCTTTGATGGTGCCGAGGTTTGTGAGCTGGTAGGTTTGTATATATTAAACTCATTATCGGAAACTGTTACCAACAGCGATATGGGCTTACAACTTTCTTACAATTAATTGACAAACACTTTCAAAAACCAAATCCACTTCATAAATGGTTAAACGCAACACAATAAAAGTCAGCTACAGCTGCACAAGCAACATAACAATAATAATAAAGAATCACAACAATAAAATATATTAATGAACCTATTTACCATTTTAGCTTGCAATCGTAAACTAAACGAAACCTGCCCTATGAATTGAAATTGCAGAAAAACAAATGTAATTTATAAATGCATTGCATCATTCCCAAACATACCCAACAAAACTATATATATATATATATATATGAATATATATATATATATATATGAATATATATATATATATATATATATATATATATATATATATATATATATATATATATACAAAACATATTTCTCTCTCTCTCTCTCTCTTTCTCTCTCTCTCTCTCTCTCTCTCTCTCTCTCTCTCTCTCTCTATATATATATATATATATATATATATATATATATATATATATATATATATATATATATATATATATATATATATATATATATATATATATATATATATATATATATATATATATATATATATATATATATATATATGAATGCAGCATTAGATACACACTGGTGGCATCATACTGAAATATAGAGCTGCAGAGGTTTTAATATGAACACCAACTGGCTAAATAAGAAAAAGATGCAAGGAACACAACTACATCGACTAGGGGTTTGTATTGGAGCAGCAATTGTTTTTTTCATTAGCCTTTGTTTTTTTCTTTTTTCTGAAAAGTTAAAATGTAAAGTTAAAGAATTAAAGCACACAAAATATATTAGCAAATTTCATTCTTAGATTTTATCCATTGTGTGTGTATATATATACATATACAAGTCTCGAATTAGTGATCGCAAATTGCAACATCTGTAAATATTTCTGGTTATTAAATTATCAGTTTATTAAAAACTGTGAACACTGTTTTAATGAAACAGCCATTTATCATATTGTAAAAATTAATGAAAAAACAAAACAATAAATTTACTTCTGCAAAAATAATATCAGTCAAAACTTATATAATTTTAGTATTGTTATTTTAAAACACCTGGTAATTTAAGGATTATAAATAAAAAATTTTATTATCAATTAATTGATAATAAAAATAATAAAAAGATATATTTTAAAATAAGTCATTAGAGTTTTTTTGTTTTTATATAAAGTTTAAATTAATCTTTATATATTTTTAAAATCCTCCATCTTTAATTTTCTATACATATCTACAAAAGAGTTATGAGCGTTTAATTTATAGAAAAATACTGAATAAGATTTAAATAATTAAAAAAGTATTTTTTATCTTATGATTATCTTTATTTTTTTTATCTTATGATTCTTATTATCTTCATGATTTCTTTTATTTAAAAATATTTGATCACCGCTAAATTCCTTCAGACTGTTGTGATTAGCCGTTGTTTCTTAATAGATATATTGTACTTTAATTTTCTAGTTTTAGCTGATGATTTCTAAAATGAATCAAAATATTAAAGTTTAAATCATAATTTTTAATAATAATAAAAATGATAGGAACAATATAGATACAGGTTTTATAATAAGATTTTATATGATAATAAAAATGGTAGGAATATTATGGTTTTATAATAAGATTTTATATGATAATTCAAGTTATAATAAGATTGTAATATATTTATTATATGTAAGCATATAATAAGATTTTATATGATAATTCAAGATCTATATTTTTTATTGAATAATAGCTATTGAGATTAATGATCAAAACAGAATTTACGATTTTTAAAAAGCTAAAAATTTAAAGACCGGATACATTTACAGATATTGAAAATTGCAATCACTTAATTCAAACACGGATATATTTAATAAAAAATCTCAATATACCTTGACTCGTTCTGCTAACTTTTGCTTGATTTTGTGACCCTATAAATTGATTGTGTCAAAATAAGTGAGTGCGCCAGCCATGTTTAAATTTTATTTTTAATAAAATTACTATAACACATAATTTGAAAATAATTTAGAAAATTTTTTTTACTAGCCAAAAAAATTTCTCTGAAAAAATGTTTTTTGAAACTTTGCAAAAATGTACATCTACATACAACATCTAAAAATTTTACAATCAATAACTTTTTAGTACCCCCTGTTTCCTGATAAATGTTTCACTTAAATATAACTAAAAAGTTATTGGTTTTATTTGCCTTTTGAAAAAGATCACCCTGAATTCATTACATGATGAGCCCCATATACCAGTAGACTTATTTTTCTCTAAAAGTAAATGAATCTGTTCCTTAATAGAACCAGAATTTTATAGATTTTTCAAAAATAATACTTTCAAATAAATTGATTACTTGCATTTTATATACAAAAAACAATATTTTTAAACAAAAATTGTACAAAAATCATTTTTTGTTTATAAACTGAACAAATATCTAGCATGTATTGAAAGGTGTGATGAGGTGACCTTTTTCAAAAGTTAAATGAAACCAATTATTGTTAGTTACTTTTAAACCATAGTTCCTTTATTTTTTATACAGGAAATAGGGGGCTATCAAAAAAACAGGGGGTTATCAAAAAAACAGGGGGTTATCAAAAAACAGGGGGCTATCAAAAAAATAGGGGGCTATCAAAAAAATAGGGTGCTATCAAAATTTTATATCCTTAATCTACATACATCTAGATTAGTCTTTAATGATTCATTTAAAGCAATATGTTCTTTTTGAAGTTGAGATTTTTCCTGTTTCTTCCAGTTCACTTTTTTAGATCTAAAATAAAAATTGATATTTCACTTGTTTAATTGTACTTTATTTTTAATTGTTATTATTTTATGTACATAACACATTGCTATGTTTTTTTTAATTATGCCAAATACTTAATACACTAAAAAAAAAAATAAAAAAAAATGTGGATGACCCGCCAAAGATCCTAGAACGTCATTTAACTGAGAATTTTTGAAGCATTCTAAAAAGTAATGGTCTAAATAACAGAAAGCAAAAAATTTGAAACAACATTGTATTAGGATATTAGGATAATAGCTGCCACAAGAAAGTCAACAAAAACCTTTCAAAGATTTTGCAATGTCAACTCTATCCCAAAACAAAAAAATCAGAAATAATAGACTGATAAAACAAAATTAATATTGAAACTTATAGAGAAATAAAAACTATACTATAAATAAATTTCTGTTTAATTACTTAGGTAGTGATTAATAACTTTCACAGGTTTTATTGAACAACCATTATCAAATAATCAACAACATTCCACTTTATCTGTAACTATTTTTGTAATGTGTAATTATTGTTGATGATACATAACTGAAAAAAAAATTAAAAATTAATTTCAGCTGACCCCCCAAACATTAAATGGTAAAACTCTTGTCTCTATTAAAATGGTAAAACATTATCTCTAGGCTGGCCTTAAATTTGACAAAATATGGAAAACTTACATTATCTCTAGGCTGGCCTTAAGTTTGACAAAAAATGGTAAAACTCTCATTATCTCTAGGCTGGTCTTAAGTTTGACAAAAAATGGAAAACTCACATTATCTCTAGACTGGCCTTATGTTTGACAAAAAATGGATTACTGTCTGTAAAAAACATGCTGAGCCTAATACCTCATAAAGCAATTTAGAATATTTATAGGATGGCCTCAATAATACTTATATTCATATACCATATTTCATTTGCTATTTAGATACCACACATACAATTTTCAGGTGAAAAAACTAGAGAAAAAGCTACCTGTTCTAAGCAATTGAAAAAGAAAACTTTTTGGCAAGACAGAAGTATAAAGTTGAGTTGTTAGCAAATAGAGCCACTTTAGATTCAAGATTGTCAGGAAGATCATTAATGTAACAAACAAAACAGGACCAAGGACACTTGAAGTACTCCAAAAGCTAAAACACTTAAATAGTTTGGATTCAAGAGATTACAAAGGAGGGCCATTTATCAGAAGGAAAACCCATCATCCCAACTGTCATGAAGAAAATCACAAAAATAATCCCAGCCAGCTTTATGGTAGCAATAAATAGTGTGATGATAAAGTCTAAAGAAGAAGTAGGAGATGAAAGATTTATAGATATCATTGCATGGTCCGATCCACCTAAAGGAAAACAAGGAAAAACTGAACACAAGCTGAGGTCAGAGACAAGACACAAATCAAGGAGGAAGCTAAATGATTAGGGTTGTTTAGAAAAAGAGTTACAAAGTTAACTATCTGAGTAAGAAATTGAGAAATATAGAAGTTTTGAGTTTTAGTGTCAGCAGGGTCAGTGGTGTTTTTCAAGTCATTCAGTGTGATAATAATTAAAGTCACCAATAACAACAATACTAGCAGAAAGGTAGAGAGAAATTTTTTGCACAAAATAATGCAGTCTTGAGAAGGGGTATGATAAAGAACAAAAAAAAAGGTGATAGAGTGAAAAAGTACTCAAAAGAATTGTCAGAGGATTCAAACCTGATTTCTTGACAAATAGGGAAGTGATGAGCAAATATACGCTAAAGACAAGCATGGAGTTTTGCAAATTAAAAGATAGTAGTCATCAATACTTAGATCTGAAGAAAAAATATATGTATTTTAGTTTTACAAAGAGCAAGCTAGTCTGGCGAATTTTGCAAGAGGTAAGATTTAACTGATGGAAAGTTATTTTATAGACCACGAATACACGTGAAAGATATATTGAAACAGTTAAGTGGTGATAATGGTTTTTTATTTTTAAAATTTTTGGTTGAAAATAAAGTTTATAACTCATTAGATTAAGTACTTCCAAAGCAATGAGATATGCAATTGTCTCAGTCCTGCTAATTAACTTAAAGTAAACCTCTGAGACGATGTTCATTAAACTTAGAGGTGAATGAACATTGTCCCAGAGGTTCAGGCAGAATACAAACATATATACAGGGATTTTCGAATGGATAAAAATTATGCAAGAGGTTCAGACAGAACACAAGCATACAAATAGCAGCTTACAGGTAAGTGAAAATTGTGCCAATCTCATAAAATTGAAAATGTATATGGATATGTTCTTTACAAAAGTTTATCAGCTACCTATGAGACAATGTACTATGGCAACCATTACTATGGCAATTCTAACTTTTATTGAGCAACTGTAAACAACATTAAATTATTATTATTTTAAAATATTGTACTATTGTAAATTAAATCAGTATTTATCTCAACAAAAGAGTATAATTTAGTATAAATTATGTAATAAAATGTAGAAGAAATTATGTAGCATATAATCTAGTATAAATTATGTCAACATGCAGTGAAACTAGTTTTTAACAACTTAAAATAAGTTAACAAGTTTCTAAATAAGTTAAGCTGTTTTTGAATATCAAATTTTGCAAAAGACTGCAATATATTAATTGTTTTCACAACTTAAATTATATTAATTTAATTTAAAAACAAATTAATTATATCAATTTAAGTTTAATAATTGTAAATATTTTTGTAAACAATATTAACTTTTATTATTTAAAATAAATTTTCATACTTTTTTTTAGATTCTAAAATGCAATTCTTATCTGGTAGAGGAAAGTATCCAAGTTTTTTATCTGAAAAAAAAAATGTTTATATTCAAAATATACTCATTATATTTTTATAACAAACTTTGTTAAAACTGTTACCTCTTTGCAATGGTGCCATTAAAGGATGTGGCTGAACTGCATTATGGTCAATTTGACTACAACTTTTAATGTATGCTTCAACTAAAAAAAAATAGATATAAATATGAACAAAATGAAATAATTGAAATATTTTCATTGATTCTATAACTTTATCTTTTACTGATTTAATTCTGAACATAAAGAATGACAAGATGAAACTAAGACAAAAGTTTATATTTAGTTGCTAAATGTCAAACAACAAGAACCAATTTTTTTGAACTAGTTATTAGTAAAAAACACCACCCTTCATGTGAGACCTCTTTGGAATGGCTTTATCACTTATATCAATCACTTATTTGTTATATTAATAATTTTTTAGTGATACAAAATCTAAAAAATATATAAGCAAAATGAAAAAAAACATTGTTTAAATAAAACTGATTTTATTTAAGATATAACACTATAAAAAAACCCAAAAGAAAAAAAATATATAATTTGGTTTAATCCCTCCTACAGTAAAAAGAGTTTCTACTAAAGTTGGACATATCTTCCTAAACTTAATCAACTTAATATAGCTGCACCAAAAATGTTGACAAAATAATAAAAAGTCACAACAAAAAAATCATAACTGAAAATTCAATGAACACCCACCATGCAACTGTATAAACAAACAAAACTTTTTAATGAAAGGAAAACTTTTTAATGAAAGGAAAAGAACCTCAAATTTATGTATAAATGTTTAGTATCACCCCTTATTATTCTAAAAAAATTATACATCGGTTTATCAGAAGGCAAATGGAAGAAATGATGGGCAAACCACAAAACTCCTTCACAAATAAAAAACTGCAAAATTCAACCAACCTTTCCAAATACATATGGCAAATAAAAGAAAACTTCAAAGTAACACCTAACCTAGCCAATAATTTAAAAATTTCCAGCGTACAAAACGTCACAAAAAAAAAGAATTTGCCTCTACAAAAAACTTTCAATAACTTCATGCAAAGACATACCCTTATTATAAACTAAATAAATATCCCGGAATTGCTAAACAAAAAATCTGAAATAATATCAAAGTCGTTAAAAAACAAGTTTTAGCTTGACAACCACAAACCCAAAGATTAAAAAACCATAAAAGCAAAGCATGCTTGCAAACAATAAAAGCTTTATAATTGTTTTTTGCATGTTTTTTTTTTGTATAATAATAAGAAAATATTTTAAACAAAAAATACATAATGTATTTTTTACCTGATGATTGCTAAGCCATGAAACTTTTAGTAGTAAACATTATGTAGTTATTTTTTTCTTTAACATATATATATATATATATATATATATATATATATATGCACACACACATAAATATGTATGTATGTATATATGTATACAGTCAGCGAAATTCAGGTCGGCATTTGGCAATGCTGACACAAAAACCTTTGCTTTAGAATGGCATACAACTGCCGACCTGAACATCCTAAAGTGTTGGCATGCAAATTGAAATACATGTAAAAAATATATAATATTCGTTAAATACTATTTTATAATTTTTTTATTGTAATTACTTATTTTTCAAGTTTGACATGTTTTATTAAAACAAAAATTCATTCATTTTTTTCAACTATTTTTTTTTTCTTTCTTAAATTTATTCAAGCATAGCAAGGTTAAAAAAAATTACTTTTTAAATGCCTGTTGTTCTCACACTTTTTTAATCGCAATTAATATTTTATTAAGTTATAAAATCTAATTTTAATTTATTTTATTAGTTAAAACCATTTAACTAATAAAATAATTTACATGTTTACGTTTTTTTTTAATACTATTTAAGATCAGAAAGTATATTAGGAAAGTTTAGCCTTGGTATAGTTGTGTTAAATTCATGCGGAGAAGAAACATTAGATTGTAGTGGAGCATACTAAAAAATTTATGCTTGGAAAATTAGTAGAAAAAGTGTGGCCGAATCTTTTTAAAATGCAACACTAATTAGGTATCATAAATATAGTGGAATTTCCATTTCAATGCCAACTTCCAAAGCAGAAACGGAAAGGGTATTTTCATTTTTGAGACGAATACTTTCTAATGATTGCCAAAATATTTCTAATAAAGGGTTAGAAAGCATTCTCCATTTAAAATGTGTGAGAAGTTTTGACGAAACATTTTATGATCATGCTATAGAATTATTTTTGAACCAATACCCAAATGGAGAAGTAAGAAATAATCCAAGGCAAATACAGAGCCATACTAATCTTAAGAAATCAAAAATATGCAAAAACGAAACGACTTCAATAATGACTGCTTTGCAAACCCTTGTTTCTTCTGAAAGTGAATCTTCTGATCAAGAAAATTTGATTTTTAACATTAATTTAAGCAATATTTCTGATAATAATTGGACAGAAAATTCTGATGAGTATAATATGAAAATACGTCAATAAGACAATCACCATTGCGCGGATATAAGAAAAAAAACTATTTTTTAGTATTTTTAACTTTTGTCTTCCCTCCATCAATTTATATATAGTTACAAGTTCATAGTATACTACAATTAAATATTGAAAAACACCACCCCTACTACTTAATTAAATGCTTATTTCATGTAGAGGCTAAACAAGCGGATGTAAACTGTCTACTTATTTTGTTTAACAATTTGCTATTTTAAACAAAATCTTTGCCTATGGCACATAAACTAAATTTGTATTTCTAAACGACATTCTTTCTATGAGCAATCTAAAAAAACAATTAAAATTCAATAAATAAACTATGACCATTTTTTTTCTAAAAAAAACAACAACTTCAAAACTAAAAAATCACTAATTCATAAATTTGCTATATACTTAATTAACTACACAAAATTTAACTGTTACAATCTTTAAATTATTATTGTCTGAAGCTATGCTATTATAAAGCAATCCTTTTATAATCAATTAATTATTACCCCTATTTTATCTATAACCCTTTTTTACCCCTATCATAACAGAAAGCAAAAAATCCAATTTTTTTTTTGCTGACCTGACATCAGCTAAGGCTGGCACACTTGTACCAACCTGAAATCCTTCAAATTTCGCTGACTGTGTATAAATATATGCGTGTGTGTATATATATATATCTACTACTTTAATGAACAAATACGTATCTTGTAGTTATTTTTTTATTGTTTTCATTGTTAGAGAGTTTTATTTAAAATATAAAACAAGCTAATTACTTATTCTTAGTTATTTATTTTTTTATAAAAAGTTTTAACATAACATATAAAGTAATAATCTTAATACTTAGTAATGCCACCCTTTGCTAGAATAAAGGCTAGCAAAGGGTGGCATTACATTTACATTACAATTCAGGCGTTGGGGCATGCTTTCTATGTAGACTTTTGCGTTGTGTTGGAGACTGGGGTTGTTATGGCACAATTGCTGCTTGGTAGTGATGATTTCTTTGGCAATTTCCTGTTTTGTGAACTCCCTTAGATTTTCTATGGGGTTCATATCATGTAAATTCCTCGGCCATGGCAAAACACGCACATTTTTTTCAGTTAGGAATGCTGTAACACTTCTAGCTTTATTGCATGGTGAAGAGTCATGCATGAAAATATACTCTTCATTACCAGGGAACCATTCTTGGACCTGGGGTTGGAGCCTGTTTTCCAGTACTTGGTTGTACTGGTCCTACCTCATGGTCCCTTCCACAATATAGAGGCAGCTTATACTCTTAGCCTAGATCACAAACCACATCATTACACTCACAGAATGTTTAACTTTCCAAAAGACAGAATTTTTTCTTGGGCATCGTCAAATAAATGAGCTTTTGTCCATCAAAATTTGAAATGATGACTTGACCTGTAACACATTACGAAGATAATTTAAATTATAAACCTATAATTTTTCTGGTTTCTTACAATACTATAAATTATATTTACTCAACTCCAAAAGTCATATGCTGCTGCTTTCTAGCCTATTCCAGTCACTTTTTTTTCATGGTTTCAGTTAAATATGGTTTTTTGGTTGGACAGCGATCCATTAAATTCTCTTCAGCCAACCTTCTCTGAACCGTCCTTTTGGAGACGTTAATTCTTTCATTGTTTATAGATGTAGCTAGTTGAGCCACACGTACGAATTGCGTATGAAAATTGCTTTTTAAAAATGTTTTTTAAAAAGGCCTGATGTATATATATATATTTATATTTTTTTAATATACACACACATGTGTGTGTGTATATTAAAAAATATAAATATATATCTATATATCAGGCCTTTTAAAAAAACATTTTTAAAAGTGATTTTCGTATGCATTTAGCAATTTCATGTTATGCAATTTAAATTATCTTTTATTAAAAATAATTATGTAGTATACTACATTAAAAATATAAAAAATAAAATAATCAAATAAATTGTGATAAACGAACAAAACATTATTTTAAGTATAAGATTGTTTTAAGAAATGAATTATAAGAAAATATAATTTTTATATATATATATACTACCATCCATAACTATTCAAATGGTTGTACTTTTCGATATTAGATATTAAAGTTTTATTTATTATTGGGAGAGAATCGGAAAGCAAAGTCTACCTGAATTATGTCACCTTCCTATTTATTAGGTTTACAAAAAAACTAATATAAAGTCCCATTAGAATTAGTTTATAATTTACTTGCCTATTAATCACATTTATCACCTTTTGTGACAATAACTGCATAACTTTATCTCAGCATTCTACTTAACGACTTATCCAATTTGTCAAAGTCAATTTTATGCCATTAACTAATAAGTTTTTCCACATCTTATGCATCATTAGATATTTGACATTCTAACTGACTCCTCTAATAAAATTCTGATAGAAGAGAGATCTTGTGATTGGGGAGGCTAAATTATTTTATTCAATATTTGATCATTCTCAAACTGAGTCAAATAACTTATACATTTTTCTTTAAATGTGTTTTAGATTTAAGCTTTAAGTCATTTTCTTCTAAAAAATTAAATAGCTTCTATTAACCCATCTTTCTGAAGGCATAGCATGGTTTTTTAATGTACAAGTAAACTACCAGGGATGTGGAGTCCCAAAAAGGACTCTGGATATGAAACGCTCAAAAAGATTACTTCTTCCTAGTATTTTGGTATTTGGAGCTCTAAAAATATAAATAAGTTTATGAAATACTAATAGGAAAAAAATTAAGACTTCGAGGTAATAGGAACAATCATTTTTTTAACACGGAGTCCTTAGGTATAATGACAGCAAGGATTCTAAGACTCCAGGCTTAAAAACAATAAGTTCCAAATCATTATATCTCATGAAATTTTTACTTATAGCAGATAATAAGTCAAAAAACATGTTTAGAGCTTCTGGACACTACAGACTTGGAAAAAGTAGAGATATAAAGCCAGAGCCCTCTTAGGACTCTGCATCCCTGTAAACTACTTTTGTCATTACTCCCTCTATTTTTAAAAAGTCACCTGTGGCATTCCAACCAAAACAGCCCCATACCTTAACACTACATCCACCATGTTTTAAATTCGATAATGCATACTATTTTATCATACATTCAATGATTCTTTTCTCCAGACAAACAATCTTATCTTGAAACCAAAGATTTAAAACTTTGACATGTTGGTCCGCATTTACAGTCATTGATGGTCCATTTTTATGCAGTTTTGCCTACTTTACCATTTTTATTATTCTTATGGTTTTATCAGAGCATTTTAATCAAAATACTTTTAAATTTTCTCAGTGCAAAAAAAAAAAAAAAAAAAACATAAAAAATAGTTAAATAAAAAAACACATTTTCTAAAAAAGTTAATGCCATTCAAACTATAAACGGTAGTGTGTGTATATATATATATATATATATATATATATTTTAGGTTATTTAGGTGCTCCCAGAAGTCCTTACGGTCTTATCACAGAGCACCGCGGGAGAGCATTTAACTAGAAATTCACGCCTCCTTCCTTACCAATGTCGCTTATTAGGCTAGAGCCGACGCCGTACTTTGGATCTCTGGGTCTAGGATCCAGATCTCTGAGCCAGAACTCTAACCACTACGCCACGGCTATATATATATATATATATATATATATATATATATATATATATATAATATATATATATATATATATATATATATATATATATATATATTAGCAGATGCAAGCTTTGCAATGAATTTGTTATATGGTTCCCATAAGAGGTCATTAGTATATAATAATCCAAGAAGATATAAACTAAAGGATTCAAACAGAGTGTTGCCATTCATCAATATAGGAATATTAAAAAAATTAAAATAACCATAGCAATAAATAACTGAGTTTGTTAGGATTAAAATTTACTGAAAATAGAAAAGTTTTGCCCATTCAAGGATAACTTCAAGTATTTATACAGAAAGTATTTAATTATCATATAAGGAATTTATATTATTTCACTATTTAAGTATTTATACATCAATAAGTTATACAGAATTATACATATTCAGAGTAAAAACTTAAAATTGTGTCTATTTTTCTAAGCTGAAGTTCTGAAGTAGTTTTCTAAGCTGAAGTTCTAAAGTAGTTTTCTAAGCTAAAGTTCTGAAGTTTTTGTCAACAAGTTTAAGTATGCAGGTACATAATTAAAATAAAAAATTTTAATATTAAAAAAAAATTTATTACTTTTTGAAAAAAAAGTTTTTATTATTTGTTAAATGAATATTCTTTAAACTTTGTTACACTATTTGCCATTGCTTATTCATAATATGATATTCAAATTTGAAAGTCCAAGTACTTATAAAATGTCTAAAAATGATGAAATTTAGTTAAAGGAAGAATTGAAACCATGATCATAATTAAGACCTTATTTTATATATTAGAGATGAGATTATTTAAAAGTCAATTATATACTAATTTTCTACTTATTTACCCCAAAAAAAAAAGTTGATATAAAAGAAATGGATTCTTGAAACTTCTACAATGCAACATCTAGTTTTACTGGGAAAAAAAGTATCATTAGATCATCATCATCATTAGATTCAATAAATCCTTTGAATCAAGTTCTTTAAATTCTTTTTTTTTTTAAAACATATTTTATTTTATTTATTTTTGTAAAAAATTAACTATAGATTCTAAATTGCATTACAAGGTCCATATTATATACTAAATTGAAAACAAAATTAACATTTTATGGTCTTTAAATTACTTTGTAACTGCTGTAAATGTTAAAATTTAACTTTATTACTTGCACTTTGAATCAAAAATATACTCAAGAATTTGCATAGTAAACTGATAAGGCAAATGTAGAGAGCTGTTTTAACCACCAAGAGCATAAAAACAATTATCTAAAGGTGTTCTTCAGAAAACTAATAAATATCAATTAAACCCACATTAACTTAATTAACCACATTGTCACTTCCTACACCCTAATAATAGCAATAAAGTTTTGATAACTATTTTCTTTTTATAATGTTAAAAACTTACTTGCACTTGATATCGTTGTACATTTCTCATATGTTGGACTTCTTATTAAACCAAGTTTAACTTTTAGCTTGTCTATTCTTTTATCAAAATAAGCAAGACGAGGATCACAGTCTTCCCAAAGAGCCATAATCTTCATATCAATTAAACTAGCAAAACCTTGTGTTTCCACAAACAAAGTCATAAATGGTAAATGTGCTTGAGATTGGTCAGATAAAAATGCAGCTTTATCAAAATTTTGCATTTGATCACGATCCACTAACCATTCCTCTTTGGTTTGCTGTGGAAGAATAACAAAATGTTCATAATCAACAAGAATATGAGTAAAGCAATTCACAAAAATCTCACGAACAATTATATTGATTTCATCTTCATGCTGCTGTGTTCTCATGCATGTTATTGAACGTGAACCCCATACATGTTCACCATCTTTGTTTGATAAGGGGTCTGTGATTGATGCGTTTTCACTAATTATAACATTTGAAGTTTCTAGACCTACTCGTTCAATAACAGCCATCATGGCTGCTACACGTGGATTCACAGGCTTTTTAGATTCAGGAGACTCTTTACTTAATAAAGAACTTGTTTTACTTTCTTCATGCTGGGTAGGAATAATATCTCCAGACCAGTTACCACTCATAAATTTCACATTTGGGTGTGATTTTGGTTTTCCAATAACTAAAGAAGAAGTTCTGCTTATTGACAACTTTGAGTAGATTTTATAATAATCACTGTTTTGGTTTGAATAATATTCTACAGATTTGTTCATTGAAATATCAGAATTATTAGGTTCATCACACATATCATTTTCAGGATTTCCATTATTAGATAAATTGTTTTTTAGCAAAAGACAACCTTTTCGTAACTCTATATTATACAAGTTTGTTATTGATTCCAACTCAGCAATAAGTTCATTTCTAACAGGTAACTCTGGAATTTCTTGGGGAAGGTGTATTGAGTTATTGTCAATATCAAGAAGACAAAGAGAACCCTATATTAAAAACTATATATAAAAACACAGAGAATAAAAAATATGCATTTATTTTTCAAATGCTAAAAACAGCACAAAGAAAGAAATTTCACAATAAGAACAATGAAGAAAAAATTTGCAACTATTAAATATCACAATTATAATTATACATATTATATAATATTAAATATTACAATAATAATAGACTTTTAAAAAAAACTAATTTTACTTCTTGTGGCAAATCAAGTCTATCTTTTTCATCTTCCGTTTCATAGCACAAACCCATTATAAAAGGAACTGGTGCATCAAGATAATGCAACAAAAATGGAGGCAACACTGGTACATAAACATGTTGCCATAGCAATGGAAAAAATAGAGTTGTCAAACTTTCAGCTATTAACATAAGTTTGTGGCTGTCTAAAATTAAAAGAAATTCACTAATACCACCTGAATTAAAATTAAAAGAAATTCACTAATACCACCTGAATAAAAATTAAAAGAAATTCACTAATACCACCTGAATTAAAAATAAAAGAAATTCACTAATACCACCTGAATTAAAATTAAAAGAAATTCACTAATACCACCTGAATTAAAATTAAAAGAAATTCACTAATACCACCTGAATTAAAATTAAAAGAAATTCACTAATACCACCTGAATTAAAATACCACCTAAACTACCACTTATTTTAAAAAAATGTAAAACATTCTAAAAATATAAACAATTTAAAATGGATTCAAAATATAAAAATTAACATAAAATTCTCAATATTTCAGTACAAAAAAGAAATAAATAAATAAAAAAATATTTTTGAAAAGATATTTAATTTAAAAAAATAAATTTTGAAATTGAATTATCAAAACAAACAACACTGTGTTTGCATGTTGTATTCACATGTTTTCACATTAAAAAATGACTCAAAACATTATTGTTAAACTTTAAGAACAAATATATACAAATCTTAATAACACATATTACAGAACTGATTATTTCATTTTCAAATGAATAATTCATTTTAGCATTTGATGGTACTTGAGATTTTAACTATTTTAAGTGTTCTTTATTTTAAGTGTTCTTTATTTTAAGTGTTCTTTATTTTAAGTGTTCTTTATTTTAAGTGTTCTTTATTTTAAGTGTTCTTTATTTTAAGTGTTCTTTATTTTAAGTGTTCTTTTTTTTAAGTGTTCTTTATTGCAACAATTCTACTTTTACTAAATATCATGATTATATAAAAAATAATAATAAAACTATGGAATTTTATGGAAATATTGAACTAATTTAAAAAAATACTTATTGATAAAAAAAAGTTACATGTTTACAGGTTAATTTTTTTTAATGTTTACTTTCATTGCTTTCAAGTTATGTTTGGTTAGTGAAAGATGACTTCTTATCTTATTTGCAATCCTATATAAAAATTTATTCCATTAAACTTTATAATATTTTTAGTATTTTATCTTTTTTAAGACAATATTATTGTAATGATAATAACTAATGAGAATATATATATATATATATATATATATATATATATATATATATATATATATATATATATATATATATATATATATATATATATATATATATATATATATATATATATATATATATATAATATGACATACAGTCCTTCAACAATGAAATTACAAGAAATAAACCAGAAATATCATCAGCTGAAAATATGAAAGATAAAATAATCATATATAACCAAATAATGAAAGAGATTGTGCAGAAACCCTTTTAAAAATAAAAAGAATAAAAATAGTCAAAACCTTGGTTTGATGGAGAATATATACAACTCAGGCAAAAACGAAGAAATGCAGAAAAATTGTTTAGGAGAACAAAAAATGAGAGTGACAAAAGAGAATATAGACGCCTCAGGAAAGAAACGACAATAATTGCATATATAAAAAAAAGAACATATTTCTCTAACCTATTACATAAAAACACTACAAGTAAAAATCTATTCTCATTGATAAACAAGCTACTAGATAAAACTCAAGAATGTACTACCAACAGCCGATGTAGATATAAATATAAAAAAAAAAAAAGATGAAGAACTAGCTAACAACTTAAATAATTATTTTACTGAAAAAATCAGAAAACTCAGGTCTAGTCTTCAAATATCCCAGACAAACAAAAGCACATCAGATTATAATGGGCATTTTTAAGAAATTTTGAACCAACAAAGAAATTTTCAAAATCGCCATGATATTTGGAGTAAAATGTTCTCATAATGATCCGATTCCAGCATATCTACTGCAGAACAGTTTGACATCGGCAACTGACCTCAGTTTATTGCCGACATCATTTTTCCTAATTCCAAGGGTTGATTATATATAATACCATGTCATATTCATACCATGCATATTTGGGTGGCTTTTAAAACAACATTTTTGAAAAAAACCTGCTCTTACCCCTTTAATTTGTTCTATATAATACTAAAAGACAAGGTTTAAAACTTTTTTGAACAAAAAATATTTTTAGGGGTAGCTCAAGACCCTTAAAAATTTGACAGGCTCCTAATATTTTGTAAAAAAAAGTTCTTTTAAAGTATGTCAACCTGGTACTCAAAAAAAGCAAAATTATATGAAATTTAAAATTAAAAGTTTATTGGGAGTAAAAGCAATACTAAATTAGATATCTTTCTACATTATTTTTTGTTCATCTTAATTAAAATTTTGATGTTGGAATCCAATTCTAAATCTAGAAGTGCTTTTTTAACACAATTTTTTTTTATTTTTAACTTCACATCAGTCTAGCATAAGCAACAAGCTACTCCATTGAGTTTTGCAATCCATGATTAAATGGATGATCATTCTAAACTCAATTTTTACATATTTTTGTAAATAATTAAAATATATAAAAACTTCAAAAATAATAATCCATTTACAATAAAAACATGCTTAAAAAAATTATTCTCAAAAAATTTGAAAATATTGACTTTTTTTATTTTCAGCCTAAAAACAATAGTTTTTATGCATTTATACCTGAAAAAATTATTTTTATGAAAAATGATTTTTATTTTTAAATTTTTTATATAATTTTGCTTATTTTGAGTACAAGGTTGACATACTTTAGAAAACCTTTTTTTTCAAAATATTAGGGACAGTCAAATTTTAAAGGGTCCTGAGCTACCCCTAAAAATATTTTTTGATCAAAAAAATTTTAAACTTATTGTTTTAGTATTATAAAGAACAAATTAAAGGGGTAAGAGCAGGCTTTTCTCAAAAAAGTTGTTTTAAGAGCCACTTTAATGTATGTGTGTGTATATATATATATATATATATATATATATATATATATATATATATATATATATATATATATATATAATATATATATATATATATATATATATATATATATATATATATATATATATACACACACACAAATGAAGTTTTATCATATTAAGCATTGTGAAAAAAACTATGTTTCAAAAATAAAGAAAGCAAAACTAAATAAATAGGAAATATAAATAAATTTAAATAGAAAAAAAAATTTCCTTATATTATTTTTTTCGCTCAGGTAAAGAAGTGTACTTTACAGGTAAAAAAAGTGCACTTTAATTTAAAAAAAAAACACAAAAAAAACAAAGAATAATGAAAGAAAAGATTGCCAAACCCTCAATCGATGTAGCAGCACTCTGTTGCCGGTCAGGCTATTTGATAGTCGATGTATGTACTGAAGCTCCAGCAACTTCCTTTTTTTTTTATGACAACATCTGCATGAGCCTATTGTTTTTTTTTCTTTTTGTTTTTTTCATTATTTCTTAAAATTGCGACTTCGCAAATAATAATTTTTTAGTTTTAAAAAGTTAATAACAAACAAAAAATATTACTTGATGTAAAGGAAAAAAACTCAGGTTAATTACTTTAGCAGCACTTTTTTTTGAGACAAACAAAAATTTAAGTTTTCAAGTACCATTTATTAAAAAATATATACTGTTGTACCTTCACTTGCCTTAAGATAAAATAGTTAAACATACACTTTATGAACATTTTTGATAGAGTGTTATAAGTTAAAACATATTTGCGAGGAATTTAATTTTTTGTAAAAAATAGAAAAGGAGGAAGAAACAACCAAGAAAAAAATAAACTAATTTTTTTAAATTTAAATAACTTTTTTAATTAACTTAATATAAAAGTTAAATAATTTAAAATTCTTTCTTAATTAAAAATTAATTAAATTTTTTTTCTTAGTTATAAGGAAATTTCTGTTTTTACTTTTTTGATATCGCACAATCTGTTATTTATATAAAGATGTAACTATTATAAAATATTATTTTTCTAAACTATTATTTTTCACAATATAAAATTTATGTAAACAAAGAGATTGCAAGAGCTATATTGCTTTAAACATAAGTTCAAGCAGAAAAATTTATAATAGAGTTATATTTAAAGAATTTTTTTTTTTTTAATTATAAAAAAATAAACTCTTGTTGTCATTTAAAGTTTTTTTTCTTGTTGTCATTTAAAGACAATTGTTTTCATTTTTCTTGTTGTCATTTTTTCTTTTTGTCATTTAAAGTCTTGATGTCATTTAAAGTTTTTTTATTTTTTTTGATAAAATGAAAAAATATTTTGTTATAAAATCATTATAACAAAACAAACACACAAAATTTAAAATATCAAAAATAATCTAAAAATATCTTATCAAGCTTGTTTATTATAAATCTAAAAATATCTTATCAAGCTTGTTTATTATAAATCTAAAAAAAATTTTCTTGTTCTTGCAATAAATAAAAAAACTTTTATTCTTATGATTTCTTTGTTTTACGTTTCTATAACATTTTTTTTCACGTGCCTATAACATGTTTTTTTTTTTTTTTACTGAAAATTTTTGATTTAAAAGTTAGGTTAATAAAAATAAAACTTGCTTTTTTTTATTTCTGAAGTTAATAAATTTGTAAACAGTGCAAATATCAAATGTCATGCAAACTTTTGCGTAATTGTCATTCAAGCTTCATGTTTTTATAACATTAATTACTACTTTTCTGATCTCACCTTTATATCTTATCGCTTAAAGGATATCTTGTTTAAATATTAAAAAATGGCCAATGTGAAATGGCTTACGGCTTATGTTATATGGCTTAGTGCGTACATAAATGGCGCTCCAGTTTATGATTCAAAACAAGGCTTGATATATATATATATATATATATATATATATATATATATATATATATATATATATATATATATATATATATATATATATATATATATATGTATATATATATATATATATATATATATATATATATATATATATATATATATATATATACATATATATGTATATATATATATATATATATGTATATCATATATCTTAATTAATTATTATTTAACTAATCAAACCAATGGAGTGCATAATTAATTAATATTAAACTAATCAAACAAAGTGGGTGCATATTTAATAAAAATTAGACTAATCAAATAAGTGAGTGCAAAATTAAACAAAAACTAAAAAGTAAAGGGCATACCACTTGAAAGTAGCAGAATCTGATGCTCTAACAACATACAAGTAAACAAATCAACTAGATTTTCCAACCCTAATGTAATTAATACTTCTTTCATTGAATAGTCAAAATATGGTAGTTCGTTTAAATGAGGATTCCGAACAATTATTGGATCACCATTTAATGAAGTATAGCGCATTGTTTTACCAGGAGGTAAAGCAGGAATCTCATATAAAACATTATAAATGTAACTTTCTACGCATAAAGAACTTTTTTCTTCATAAAGACCAACTTGTAGTATATTTTCAAGGCAGTGACGTGCAAGTCTGACAAATGGCTTTTTCATTATAATACAAATTGATTTTGAGACAAAAAGCTGCTCATCATCTTTTTTAAAAGAATTAAAAGAACTACTTAACCTTTTGTTAAAAGGTCTGTTCATATAAAATGGTTGATCTGTTTTTGAAACTAATGCCAACTCCGTATCAAACATTTTAAATAGTGTATCCATAGCGATGATAATATTTTCATTAATAACTTTCTCAAAGAATGTTAACACAAATCCATAAATCTTTGTACCATTTTCTCTTGTTTGCAAAAAAGAATGAAATTTAGTTGCTGTTCTACGAACACTTTTACGAAAGTAAACTCCACGTGGCATGCACAGCTTTTATAAAAAAAACTTTAAAATAAAAATATTTAATAATTCAATGAAATACTTAAACCAATTCCAAACAACAATTTTTATAATATCTAAATATGCAAATTTTATTTTTGTATATGTATTCTCTATAAACAAAAATTTATTCAATTTGTAAAAAAAGAAATTTTCTCATCATTTATCTTACACACCTACAGTCTATTTAGCCCTTAAAGCTCTTCAGAGTGAAATCCCTAAAGATTTCCCTTAGTATAAAAGTCTATAAGTGAAAAAAGAATGCATTGTATTTGTATATAAACTAAAACTGAATGATTTTCAAACATTTTGTAGTTTTATTTCAACAATATTTTGAATCATATAGTAAGAGTTTTTGAACTCAAAAAGAAAAAGAAAGAATAAAAACAATTTGATTTTAGTTTGTTGTCTAATTATTGTCAAGATTAATGTCAAGTCTAATTAATGTCAAGATTAAGTAAAAAATGTACTAATAATATTTTAGAATTCAATATCAAAGTTACTAAAACACTTAGCTAATACACATACATCCCCTAAAACAGTTAGCTGATGTGCGTACATCCCCTAAAAGCCCCCACATTACTATCTTAAGCTAATAAAATTGCTTATAAATAACTTATAATAATTAATAACATAACAACAATCTTTATGTGCATGTGGGAGTTTTTTCTTTACTACCCTTGTTTAAATTAAATATTTTCCTGATATTCTTACCTCTAAAGTGACTCTACTTGCTGATAATAAAACTATGTACTTAAGCCTTAAGAAAAAGTCATCAGTTTTGATTGCTTTAAAGTCACCTACTTTCAGATTATCTGAAAGTAGAAGACTTCTTTTTATGCTCTACTTTCAGATTATCTAAAAGTAAAACATAAAAAGAATAAATCCTTAATAACATATCACAAAAATTATTTAAATATTATCTTTTAAATTGAAAAAAATTTTTTTATGGTTTTTAACCATGATCTTTTGCATTTATTCTCAAATGAAAATTATACTTAAGTAGCGTGCAAATTGCCTGCCAAGAGAGTTAATCACTTTAATTATTTAATTATTGCCAAGTTACTGTTAATTATTTGTCTTAAATTATTTAATTGTTCTTTTTATGCTCGTAGAAACATAAGAAAACGTTGATAATTTTAAAATTCTTAATTTTTAAACTATAGATGATGCCTCAAATTAAAACATTGTTGTTGATGTTGTAAAAATTTATAACTAATAATTCACTGAACAAATAATTTGTCACAAGAGAGATTCAAACAAAAGCTCTAGTTTGCCAGATTGCATTTTTGTTGTCCAAAATTGATTTTTAAAATGCAAAATTTTAGAACACATTTTGTAAAAATGTTAATTGCATAGTTTAAATTTTTAGCTTTCCAATGAATACCCAACTTTTTTTGTGTATTATCCTAATCAAAAGTTATGTCCTAGCAAATTTTTATCGGCAACGTATGTAAAAATTTTTTACGGCAATGTACCTAAATTTCCAACGTAATTCAGGATTGCCAACGAATTGTTTTAACTTTAAGGGGGACATAGGGGGTTATGACTTTGAGCAAAATTGGTTAAGTGATTCTTAATACTTTGAAGTTTTTACAGAATTGGACAAAGTTAGAGAAAGACCAGAAATTCTCTAAGTTTTTTTTTTAAATTTGGTCAATTTTAAAAATGATCTGGCATTCTTTACTCTTTGAGACTTTCAGGTTAATTCCTTTACACTGAGTTTCTTTTAAGAATAATCTTGCTGCAAATTATCTCCAAACTTGTATAACTGAAATCAACATATTAAAAAATTTAGCCTTAAACAGTAAAAATATTTTGATATTTTTCAGTTTCTATAATTTAATCTCTACCCTGGCTACTTTAATGGGACGAAATGTAATATTTCAGTGCACTAAAAAGAAATTATTACAAGTAGGAGAAGTCGAGGCACAGTGGATCGGATTTCTTTATTTTTTAAATTGACCAAAAGTTAAAATATGAATTTTATTTTTTTCAAGGCAAAAGGATTGAGATGTCCTTCATGATAATAAACCACTAAAACCCAAATATTTATTATCTAATGGCTCACAGAAAAGTTTAAAATGAGTTGTGTTTTATTATTCACTGTGCCCCAGTACTGGGGCACAGTAAATAAATGAGCACAGCGATGAATTAATGATAGTGAATAGAGACATAGCCGAATAACTTAGAGGTTAAGGGAGTTAAGACACTGTTCACTATACTTTTGACATTTATTTTTATCAATTAGATTAGCATAAAATCGAAAAAATAGACATTTTGAAATTTGAGAACAAAAAAAAAGAATTATTAATATATTGATATCAAAAACTGTAAAAATATTAAAAAATCAAAAAATTATTCTAATATTATTATTCATAATTTGTTTGTTAAAAATAAATTAATTTATTAAGATCATTAATTGGGCATAGTGAATCAACCTATTCATTGTACCCCAATTCATTGTGCCCCACCATAACAAATTAAGTTTAAGTCTAATTTCTTGAGACATGAATGCTGTTAAAAGAAAAGCTAAACTACTAAAAGGAAGCATATAACAATAATCCAAATGAAAGAATTCAACTTTTGAAATTATTTCAACCATGATCTTCATAACAAACTTAGGGATGGTAAAAAAATTTACTTTAAATAACTAAAAACAAAAAATACCTACCAAAAACCGGTAGTCAAAAATCATGTGCTAACAACTATAAATAAAGATGACTGATATATGAGCACATAAAATGATTACATTTTCAAGATGAATAAAGTTCTAATCTTTAAGAGAATGCCAATTATTCACTGTGCCCCTCGATCCACTGTACGGATCAACTTCTTTTATACTTTCTTAAAGGTTTGAAATTTATTGAGTCATAAAAATTGAGTTTGTTTTTAAAAAATTGTATTTTTGAATTATTTTGTATTTTCAAGTATTTCTGACCACTGTGAATTAAGGTCATCAAACCTTATTGCATATAAAATATTATAGTCTTAAAAGGGCATTAACAAAAGTTAATTAAATTACCAAAAATTAGTTGCCCCCTTTTTCTTAGATTAGTGCCACTTCAAACCTCCCTCCCCCGCCTTAGGGGTGGGGGTGTGTGACTACTGATCACCTATAATAGAACAGAATTTAAAGAAATAATGCTTTCAATTTAAAATTAATTTAGATATTTAGATATTAAATACCTGAATATCTAAATTAATTTAGGTACCTTCATTTGAACCTTAAAGATCTCTAAAAATTTGCTGCCCCTTTATTTGTGCCCCTATCTACAATAAAAACCAGATCAAAGAGAGAGCAACCAACCATATCTTTCTTTTTATTAAGAAATAACTTATAATTAGTTTCACCCCTCACTTAGGCCAGTAGGCAGATAAGAGGGGCGCTGAATTCTAATAACACATTCAACCTTTGATAACTGAAAAATAGGGTAATTTAAAAATGCTGGCATTTTTGGTGTGAACTTGAAAAGTTTATAATGTTTGCATTTTCAGATAGTTAATCTTAGATCTAAACAAAGTGTTGGAAAAATTTACAATAAAACACAAACAAAAAAAACAATTATGTACCATCTGAAGGTTGTCTAAGGAAATACAGATTGTTGAAATAATTGGTCTAAAAGGGTGGTAAAGAAGAATTTTTACTGAGTTAGTGCATCTTAGGTAAACCATAAATTCTTGCTGTTTGCGAACTAACAGTACATATAACAATAAACTTGCCAAACATCTTTCTGATTTATTACCTTCTTATATACCTAAATTTTATTCCACCTGTTACTCTTTTTCTTTTGTTGAGGAATTAAAACAAGTTGATATAGCTAACAAATATATAGTTTCCTACGATGTTGAAAGCTTATTTACTAATATTCCACTTAATGAAACTATAAATATAGCTACTAATTTATACTTCAAAGATGAAATGTGTTTAAAATACTTTTCTAAAGCTCAGTTCAGAAAATTATTTTAAATCTCAACATCCGGTTCTCATTTTTTATTTAAAGGAAAATATTATGATCAATTGGATGGCGTTGCCATGGGTTCTCTTTTAGCGCCAACATTAGCTAATATTTTTATTGGGTTTAACGAGCAAAAAAAGCTCTTCCTCCATACCAATTTTTTATAAACGTTGAATGTTGATGATATTATCGCTATTTTTAATTCAGATTTTGAAGATCAGGAATTTTTTACTCATCTTAATAAACAACAAAAAAACTTAAAATTTACTATGGAAAAAGAACAAGATAATCAAATTGCATTTTTAGATGTTCTTAATTATAAGTCTGTTTCACTTGCTACATCAGTTTATCACAAAAAAACATATACAGGTCTTTTATTTTCCAGTTTTTTTCCTGTTGTTATAAAATTAGTTTTATACATTGTTTAATTGATAGAACGTATAAAATTAACAACACATGGCTAGGATTTGATAAGGACATAAAAAATCTATCTGATATTTTAAAAACAACCAATATCCACCAAAAATAATTGACACTGAAATTAAATTATTTGTTGATAAAAAGTTAAATCCATCTGTTATAAATAGTATTGATAACCCTAATAAAAAATATTATAAACTTGCATTTATAGGATTTTACTCAAATTTTACTAAATCTAAAGTTAATAAAATCATTAAAAAATATTGTAAAAATGTTAATTTAATTTTCACACAAACAAATTACAAAACAGTTTATGTATAAAAGACCCACTGCCTAATCTGATCAAAATGTTTACAAATTTTCTTGTGCTGGGTGTAATGCCAGTTATATTGGAGAAACCTCCAGACACTTAAAAACAAGAATTAATGAGCATCTTACAAGTAACAAACAATCTAATGTTTATAAACATTTCATTTTATCTGTTGATTGTAAAAATCTAAGTAACTATAATTGTTTAAAATTTTGGATTTAAATTTGTTTAAAATTTTGGATTGGCTTCTAACAAAAATAAATTAAAAATTAAAGAAGCACTCCATATTAAATGGGAAAACCCATCTTTAAATAAACAAACTGTTCATTATAATATCAATGTGTCAATCTAGTTTGTTTTATTTACTTATTATTTTTTATGCTATTTACGGTATCATAATTTGTATTATAATTTTTATTGGTTTTGTAACAATTCAATTTGTCTGTTAATATTTCTCTGTAATGTCTTCAAATTTTGATTTTATATTTATATTCAGATTTTTAAATTGTAATTTTATCTTTTGAAAATGTAGTATGTTAACTACGAAACATGTGAAGATTACAAAATATCGTGTTTTTCTTAAAAATATGTTCACATTTTTTGCTATTACATTACTCAATATATATATATATATATATATATATATATATATATATATATATATATATATATATATATATATATATATATATATATATGTAAAAAAAATATTACCACTTTGATGCCATCTGGTTCAAACAAGTTTGTTTGATCATTTTCAGGAAAATGCCATAAAATGCTAGGCTTATAAGACAGTTGGAATGGCGTTAGCAAGCTATCTTCAGAATCTGTAAATTAAAAATAACTATAACATGTGTAAAATTATGCGCAAAAGATATGTATAAATTGAAGACCTGAAGAAAATGATTTTTTGATTAAATAGCTATTTAATTATATTTCATACTTTGATTTATATTTTGCTTTATGTCAAAATTATAAATCTTTAATTATAAACAAAATTGAATAAAAAACATTGTAAAAAATATCATAACTAGTTAATAAACCACAAATACTTTAAATTATCATAAAATGTATAAATTATTAATATATTATTATACTATATAATATTAATACTTTTATTCAATAGATAAAGTTTGGTACTCTGTCAATATTTACCATGGAATACAGTTTTCAGTTCCACAATAATAAGCTTTTCATACTAATAATTTTACAATTAATGCAAAATAATAACACTAAAAAAATAATATAATAATAATTAAAAAAATAATAAAACTCCAAAAATGACAAAAAAGTATTGATTATAATAAGACAATCAAATAGTTATTAAAATTTAATGTTGAAAAGTGTAAAACTACACATATAGGTTATCAGAACCTAAAAAACATACATATATATTTATATATATTTAAACATATAAAATATAAATAATACAAATAACTTATAACAAAAATTGCATAACTTAAAAAATCTGTAGAACATTATAATTAAAACAATATTAATTTAAACATTAATTAAATATTAATAGGAACAGTTTATAAAAAAAAAACAAGAAAATTTTAACAATGAAAACAAAAATAAGAGGTTGTAATAAAAAACATTAAGACCTCTTTGGTTTTTAAAACTGAATTGAGTTACAAATTTCTGACAATTTCGACAATAACATTAAAATTGAAGTATTAGATTAAAAACCCCTTTCACTTGTAAATTTGAATATTACTACTTCTTTTAATTAATAAATTGAAATTTATTATTTTAAAACAATATTGAATAATAATATTTAAAAAAAGATTAAACAAGTGTTTTACTCTTTTTTACTAAATTTAAAACTTTTTTATTAACACTTTTTACTTCAAACCAAACAACAAAGAATGATATAAGAAGAATAAAAAATAAATAAAAATAACAATAATAATAAAATTAAAAAAAATTTATATTATACAAGATTTAAATTAACTAAAAAAAAATTTTTATAAATTTTTTTTTACCAGAACATTGATGAGGTTCTAAACCCTCTTGCTCATTTAATCCACAAATAACAAAGTAATCAGCAAATCTATCATGATTGGAATCAGCAAGTAATTTTTTCGACATTGCATCATCTTAGCATATTTGAGGTCTTTAGATTTTAATGTTTTGCTGCTTCTTTCATTGTTTAAAAATATTATTAAGCTGGAAAAAATATTTGAATTATTGTTTGCAATCACAATAAAAAAAAAAATTAATAATATTAAAAATATTATGAAATAATTAAATATAACTTAAAATTAATAAAAATTGGTTAATTTTTGTTTTTGTATATTAAAAAAATTTTCGTACCAAATTATTTATATAATTTAAACTGAAAGGATTTTTTATCAATGAAACTATTTGTTTTAAATTGTTTTCAGTATTTTCTATCTGTTTGATTTGACTTTTATTTTATTTTTTTTCTTAAAAAAAACAACAACAAAAAAACTTTACATTACATATCACATTGTGTACCAAAGTAGATATTTGGTACACAGTGTATCAAAGTAGTTTTTTGTAAAAGACCACTTTGTTATGCATTAAAAACATATATAGATAACTATATATGTGTAGACCAATTTCTTTATTACCTGTTTAAAAAAAAATTGCAAAATTTATTAACTAAATCTAATAATGAAATATATAATATACTCAATGAACTACTTCGATTTTATTGTAACTCAAGTAGTAAAACTGAAAAACTTTCAGCTACTGATTATTGGTATAAATGTATAAAGACAAATTATTAAGCAAATTTTTTTTACATATCATAAAAACTATACTATAAACAATAAACTATCTAATAAAATCTTTTTAACCGTGTTAAAAAAGATATCTTTTTAACCAGGTTAAAAAATAATTTATAAAAAAGTTCTTATTAAAGTCATAAAAAAACTAAAATCCAACTTAAAACATAAACTGTAGCCATTATGATTTACTTACAGAATTTTTCTTTATTAGAAATACAATAATTTTTTTTTTAATTAAATGCAAGGTACAAAATTTGTGAAAATAAAGGTAAAAAATGTTTTCCTTAAATTTTAATTACTTATGAGGTGAATATAAGCAAATGTAATAAATGTTTAATGTTGGTATTTACTAACTTTGCTAGCGTTCTTATGTAAATCCAGTAAATTTTTTTGTGTTTGAAAAATAAAAATCAAATATTTTGTGTTAAAAAATAATAATAAATAATAATAATAATAAATAAATACTAGTTTTGCAAAAATCCTAACTTTGTTTTTAAAAATGTTAAACTTTCTAACACTTTATACGGCTTAAAATACACCACATAAAATTTATTAAAAAAATTAAATTAAATACAATTATTTATGCTTTAAAAGAGCTTTTCTAAAACATTAGATAATATATATGTTTTTTTATTGTCTAAAAAAAAACATAAAAAATATAATTTTTTTAAATTTATAATAACATTTTCAACAAATTCTTATAAGTTTCAGAACTTACAACAATTTATTTTTTAAATGTCATCTTATTGTTTGCATTATTTAACATAAATAACATATTAAAATAATTTGAAAACTCAACATAGATACATTTTCGTAAAAACTATATTGTTGTAATACAATATTTTAAAAACATGTCATTCAATAGTTTGCTATGTGACTTTACCCATAAGTCTGTGTGGTTTTTTGTGAGTTTGAAATGAAGTAAAATCTCAGGGCTTAATAACACAGATGTAGCACCAATAATTTCGTTTTCTAAAATATAAACTTCTTAAAACTAATAAATGCATACAATTTATTTATTTACAAATACTTATAGAAAATAGATATTGTTATTTTACTTTTTACAAGAACAAACAACGCATAATATAATATATAAAAACATCTTTTACATAAACCCTACTTTTGAAGATAACCAACCCCAAAGTAATAAACCCTACTATTTGATACAACTGACCGATTCTTCTGAAATTAGATGCATGTAACTCATTTAATGTATTCTTCAAAATAAAAATTAGATTTCATTTTTCAAATGTTAATTTGAGTTTTTTCAATTTGTAATGTTAGTTGAATGGGGCTTACGTAAAAATTAAATTGTAACATAATTTAAACAGGTCTTACATAAAAGTCTGATTGTAACAATCAAATCTCAAGTATTTTTGTAACATTAGTAAAAACTAAAAAACCACAACTTAGTTGATCGGATTTTCTATCAATAAATTGCATGTACATTAAGATATGCCACTTAAAACAAAAATGCACAAAGAAACTTCAAGCATCAATACTATAATACCAATATATATAAAAAATAAAAATTCAAAATAAAAATTCAAAAACATTTTTTTTTTAAAGATTTCAGATCATAAAATTTAATGTTTTTTGTGTCTAATAAAAAAGGAAAAGAAAAAATTATTTGTGTCAAAAAATTGAAATTAAATCAGAGTTGACAATGCCAATTGGTCAGGGAATCAGGTATTCCCCTCCCCTAATTTTTATTAGAAGGACCTTTTTTATTTTTATTTATTTTTTTTTTGAAATTTTTATATATAAAAGAAATATTTTGGAAATTAATGATTGTGTCCTTTTCCTTTTTTTCTAAAACCACGTTGCTGAAAAACCTTAAGGAAAAAGCAAAGTTCTATAAAGGTGTAGCCGACTTTTAAACTTTGAACAGCAACTTTTAATGTTTATTGCATTGTACAGAAGTTATAGAGATTGTATATTTTTGTCTATGTTTGTTATAATAGTACCAAAGTAAACTTTGGGTACAATATGCATAAAGTACACTTTTGTACTAATGTACTTTTCTGTATGTACTCTGGAACAAATACAATATATCTCATTCATGAATTTTTGTATTTACAGACATATTTTTATTATTTATTTATAGTAGCAATCAATAAAACTGGAAATAAACTACTTTTCTACTGTGTATTCATGTACCTCATATGTATTTTACTTTCAGTTTGGTTGTTTTCCAGTTAATTGCAATGTTACTAGTATCTGTTTAAAATTAACACTTTTTTGTTATTATTTAATATAAACAGGAAAAATAAGTGTTCCTAAAATTAACACTTTTTTTTATTATTTAATATAAAAAAATCTCTATAAGAGAACTTTGTGTGCAAATCTGTTCTTCAATAGTGGACAAGAAATTCAATTTTCAAAATATCTTTGGAACAGATAATAGAATTAGTTTTTACCTCAAATTAGATCAAAAGCTTGATATTAAATCTTGTAGTCAAATTAGATCAATAAAAATTAATTTTTAGTCAAATTAGATCAATAGCTTGACATTAAACCTTGTAAATGTGAAACTACTTTACGTAACAAAAAGTACTTAAAATCAAATAGCTGTCTAAATCTAGCGCATATTAAATGTTCCTACCTGAGGGAAAAAAAAAGATTCCAAAAATTAAACTTTTTTAGTTAATAGCTGAGTCTATCAAATATTTTGTTATGGTGCTAAGGAAACAGCTAAAGAGGTTACATTAGAAAAGTAGAATATAAAAAGAAAGTCAAGTCTAGAAAAAAAATTGAAAAAAAAAAGAAGAAACTTCAAAGAATAAAGACCTTGTTGTGTCTTTTATAAGTGATAATAATTTAAATAGAAGAAAAGAGTCGGAAGAAGAAAAATTGTCTATAGCTCATTGACTAATGAAATCTAAAATTCATTTTTTTCTCATTTGTTAGATACTAAAAATATCAAACTAGACAGAAATTCATTGAAATATAATTTTTTTCAAATTCACAAGTTTTATGATCTGATATTTTCCTAAAAAAATTTTCCTGGTAGGTAAAAAAAAAAAAAAAAATTTTTATATATTGGCACTATAATATTGATGCTAGAAGTTTCTTTGTGCATATTTGCTTCATGCAACACACACTGTACATTACTTTAAACATACAGCAATGTAAATGAATAATTTCTAGAAAACTGGAATCATTTTTGCCATAGTTTCAAAAAGTTCGAAAAAAAATATGATAATACTTAAAGCTTTAAAAAAAAATCTAAAACATCTTTGTTTAAGACAGCATTTTTATAATTAAGACAACATTTTTGTAATTAAGACAACTTTTGTAATTAAGACAACTTTTTGTTATTAAGAAAAAATTTTGTAAGTATGACAATATTTAATATAAATTAGTAAAGTTTTTCCAAAAATGTAGGATTTATCCATAGGGTACTTTATAGAAATAAAATTGTGTCAATATCTTACCTAATATGTGCACAGGATAAATATTTGCAATCTTCATCCAATTCGCTAAATTTTCTACTTTTAATTCTTTTAAAATTCTTTCATGTTTATCATATAATGTTTTGTTGTTCCATTTTTCTTTAAAATTTTCAAAATCAATCTTAGTCTTCCGTAAAAAAGTTGTAAGCTGAAAAACGTGATCAAAAAACTGTTTCTTTTCTGTAAATGAAGAATCTCTATAGCATAAACATCCAGTCATGACCATATTCAAAGATGGTGATTGGAATTGGATATCAACTACACAAACATGAGATTCCATGCCAGACAATTCTTCAAAATCAAAAACTGTGGGCTTTTCAGAACGTGTTAAATTTTCAGGCAGTTTAATTGTCATATTTATTGAAGTAAGTTTACACGCTGTTTTATTTATTATTTCAATAACAACAGCTAAGTCACTTTTAGTAAATATATATTGCAAAGTGACTCTTATATTCACATCAAATGATAGCTCTGTAATTTTAACTGACTTCTTAAAAGTGATATATCTTTCAGGTAGATTATTTTTTTGTTTCAGAGAATAACCAAGCACAAATGAAGAACTTGGTGAAACAAGATCATCTAATAAATTTACTGAGCTATTCTTAAAAAAAAAAATTTAATTTAATTTTAGTTTGAAAAACTGGCTCAAATTAACTAATTTGCTAATTTTCATGCAAATATGAATCAATGACAAAAATATTTACTGAAAAATTAAATTATAATTAAAACTTACAACATGACTATCAAGAGGTTTTTGACAAACAAGGCCAATGAACAAAGAAAGAAGTTGAGATGAGTACAGGGACACAAAGGACTTGAAACTTTGTTAGACAGTACTATAAATTAAAATTATTACTCTTTGACTAAGTACTTTAATAACACAATTTTATTTAATCTTTATGAATACTTTAGGCATTATTTTGATAGTAGATTAGTATTGGTGGTTGTGGTGTAGTAGTTTAGTAGTAGCAGTGATGATACAATTGTGTAATGATAAGGTGATAGTGTTTATGTTGTAGATCATTGGCATAATAGGCAAAAAGTACCAAGTTCAATCCTTTTGTAGGACCACTCAACTTTTTTCTCCATGCAGCATCCTTGTTTGTCAAGTTTTATGTTTCGAAGAGAGGGTTGCAACATCAAATTTGCACTGCAAAGAAATTTTGGACATAAAAACATTGGATTAAATATATAAAATATAACAGATTTAACTAACTTTCAATCAGCGCAACTAATTTTTAACTTTCAATACATCAGCGTAACTAATTTTTACCCATGTTGAGTTAAAGGTATAACTGACTTTGCAGATCATGGCTTTTTAGATTTTTAAAAATATTGTAAAAATTTGTTAAACTAGAGTAATAAAGTGAGAAAATGCTTATAATGATTGTGTACAATAAAAAAACATTTTCTTTAAATTATCGAAAGATATATATTTAAAAAGTGTATTTTTTACAACAAATGTAAATGTTTTTAAACAATTTTTATAAATATTTTTGTAAGCAACAAAAACGATTATTTTAATAAACTTTTAGTTGAGTGCATAAATTTAGTAGTCAAAAACCAAGTTATTTTTTATAATGCTTCGTAATTTTCAAATGAAATATTTCTACACTACGCCAAACACTTTTAAATAAAGTTTTATTATGCTATTAAATAAATTATAAAATATTAAATAAAATTTTTATTAATTTCAAAAGTACTTTTTTTTAATGATGAATGTAAATGTTTCAATCAACTATTTTATAACTCATAATATATATCATAATATATATCATAATATAGTCGAAAACATAACAAAGTTTTTTTTGTTGTTGTTTTGTAAACTTTTTAATTAATTGTTTTTACACTACCTTAGTAGTATAAAAACACTTAATTAGAAAGTTTACAAAACATTAACAACAAATATTTTTTAAATGCTTTTAAATAACAAAGTTTAATGATCGTTTAAGTAACAAAGTTTTAACTAAAAAACATTAAATATAAATAATTAAAGAAAATTTAAAAAAACAATACTTAACTTAAAAAATTTGTGCATTTTATGATTGTTTAAATACAATTTTATGAACGATTTTATTTTATGATTAATTTTCTATTTAAATAGTTTGCCTACTAATATAAAAACATTATAAGAGTTGGTTTCAAGTGAAAATTATAAAAACATTAGAAAAGGTCAAAGTTTTAAAGATATTCAACCTTAATGTAATTATAAGCATAATTAAATAATTTTTTACTAGAGTTTCAATTTTTCTGTTTTATATTAGTTGACTTTTTTTAGGGCTATAATTTTTAGTTGTTTTTTTTAATTTCTCCTTCATTAAGATTTTTTCGTGCGTTTTTGAAGCATTAAAAAGCCACGGTCAAGTTTTCAAAAAAAATAATCATATGCAGGCTTGGTCGGGAAGCGGGAGCGATCGCTCTCGATTGCTGACCACATAAATAATATTTAGTTGCGAAAAGCTGGCCAGATATTTTAGTCGTTTTGAGAACATTTTAACAAAAGATTATTTGGACCGATGAGAGACAATTACAAAAAATTTAATATAAAATTAAGCGATGTTTTTTATCTAAAGTAACATCTTACGATTGTTTAAAAAGGAAACAAATTTTCTTTATTAAACAAAGTTTGCAAGTTTTAGTTTTATTTAAGCTAAATTATTTTATAAATAAAAAAGCTAATTTTTATTAATACCTATTTTATGTTTCGCGTAGTTTGAAAAGTTTAACATATTTGAAGCAATTCTTCTTAGTAAGATAAACAATTAAAATAATTAAATCATTGAATTACTATAGACATTAAATTAACAAGATAGAAATCAACTAAAAAGGTTAAAAATATGACGAGGAAGCAAAACTGCTTCACAGTATCGCTGATGATGTTTAGTGAGTGGGCTTTTTAATTAGTAATTTAATTAGTAATTAAAGCAGAAAAATGTGTAACGAGTTTTTAAGAATAGCAAATGAAGCGAAAATAATTAGAGTTAGTAAACCAATATCTAGAAACTTTTTTTTATATCTAATTATTTGCTATATATAATTGTGTTCTGTCGTGACCACAGGCGCGGTGCTTGTTCATCCGTGAGTTACTTTGTATGCGTTGTTTGTGTTTAGTAACCAGAAAACTTCTTATATGTGTTACATGATTAGTTTTATTAACTTTAACGATTATAACTTTATTAAAAACGCAATTATTTTTGTAAGTCTTTGTTTAAATCATAAAAATTGCTTTAAAAGATACATTCTGATAAAAAACAGATCAACAAAATTACATTTACATAAAGAATACATACTTTTTAAATAAAAAATAAGAATGTACAAATAAAATCTATAATTTATAATAAACTTTTAAAATTTTGACAATTTAATTAATATATATTTAAAACATTTATTTTTGTAAACAATTTAAATATATTCTTTAAACAATTTATGCTAGAAATCTGAAAACGTAACAAAACGTGAATAAAATAATTTCTAAAACATTTCAACAAAATGCTCCAAAATTTTATTTCGCTTAGTCAGCGTATTTTTTGAACCAATAGAATTAGTTTGTTCGTTAATTTGGGGGGTTTTTAGTTTTCGCAAATATTCTTTTTATTCTTTCGCACCAAGATGTTTTGATAACATTTAAGTTTTTATGTTTCCATGTATGTCCGTAAAACAAAAATTTTTTGTTTCGTAAATAAACTTAAATGTTCTCAAAACGACTAAAAAACCTGGCCAGTTTTTCGCAACTAAATATAATTTCCGTGGTCAGTATTCGAGAGCGATCGCTCCCGCTTCCCGACCAAGCCTGCATATGTGTAGTCAGTTATCGAGTGCGATCACAAGCCTTTCCTGTCCATGACTGTGTGTGTATATATATATATATATATATACATATATATATATATATATATATATATATACATATATACATATATATACATATACATATACATATACATATATATATATATATATATATATATATATATATATATATATATATATGTATATATATATATATATATATATATATTTGTGTAAGTATAAATGTGTAACTTTATTTGAAAATTTTGGAACACATGCTGCATATAAATAAAATACCTTACCATAGGTGTTTCACTTGGTAATAAATAATCTATTTCCTCTTTATTGATGGTATGGTCATTAAAATGTTCGATAGGAAACATAGGGGAGCTAATAGACTGATAGATTGTTTTTAATTCTGCATCACACTTTTTACTTTCAATATTATTACTCTCAAGCAAGTTAACAGAATCAGTTGTAAGATTTTTACATTCAATATTATTACTTATTACCATAGAAGTGTTCATTGTACTTTCAATCAAGTTAACAGAATCAGTCTTAAGATCAATAAACTGGTTTCTAATGTAGTCTGATGATTGGATTTCAGACTTTGTGATGGATTCTTCATGGCTTATTTCTAAGAGATTTGTAGTCACTTTCTTTTGAAATTTTTTACTTTTTGCAACAGGGAGCGAATTGTCACTGATTGCTCCAAACAGCTGTTGGGCCAAAACTTGCTTGTTTTTGTCAATTATAAAGTTTTGAACTAAAGGTGTAGAAATCAAGATTTTTGAATTTGAGTCATCAGAACTATTTTGACTAGAGGAAGCTGATTGTGTATCTGTTGATACTGATATTGCTTCAGATATCACTGTATTTGATAAAGCTGGTGATTGTGAATCTTTTTTATTGGCAATGTAACCTTCTCTAGTCCATAATTCTTTAACAGGGCTAAAGATAGTAAAAAAAAAAAACACTCAAAATTACCATAAAGAAATATATTTGAAAAAAGGGATCCCCGAGTGCAGAGTTATGTTGTGTACATATTAAAGAAAATGTTTAAAAAAAACATTTGGGCTAAATTTTTTTGATTAAAACTAAATAATGAATGCACACCATTAATTTTAAAATTCAAGTTTTAGTTGATGCTTGCCGTCTCCATTTTTTTTGGTTCTCAGAGTCTGTATTATGTTGCCATAGTCTGCAGAATTGATAATTTATTTCACGCGTGTTTAATTCACAACTGTTTCGGTATATGACGTCATTGCAATACCTTTTCAAGATAGCGTTTTTTTGTTAAAGATATAAGTATTTTTTCTACTACAATCAGGAAATCAAATATTTGTATAATATTTTACTAAATCACAAAAAACATTTGTGATTTATTAAAAAATATATTTTAATAAATCTAAAATTTAAATATATATATATTTTTTTACTTAATTTTAATTAATACTTTGTTTTAGAAGCCAGCCAAAATCATGACACAATTATACATATTTTGTGATTATTAGAGTTTGCGGGCAGAGAAAAAATGAAGGCAGTATGATGGGAATTCTTGTTATACATTTATTTCATATGGTTAATAGAGTTGTTTGTATTATGTTTAACTTACATTTAGTTATCGTTTAACACATTCACTACCGCAAACCTCTGGTAGCAACTTTCGAATATGCTTCACAATTAATCTTGTTTTGTAATAAATTTCATTTCTAGACACAATTTGTTTGTTCTAAAGGTTTAATTAATTTTCTACATAATCATGAAAAAATAAGAGCTATATTGTGTAATTATAAAAATGTTATCACTTGACAAAGTTAAAAAATCTTGAATAATCCTTCATAAAAAAAACTTCTTTAAATTTAGTTATAAAATAAAACAGGGTTAACACTAGAAAAATTTAACTTGTAGAAATGTATTTATTTAGTTAAGTAATTACCTAAGTCTTTTGAAGAAAAAAATGTTATTTTTATTCATTAAATTAGTTTTGTTTCGGACTTAATGTTTAAGTAACTATTTAAAAAACCAATGGTTTTAAGCACTTTGCATTTCTTATTGTTTAATGATGCGTGTTAAAATTAAAAAGTACATTCGTTTAGCTTTCTATTAATATATAATTTAATATGCTTTTAAAGAGATTTAATATTTAAATTCAGTCGCTACTAAAAGATTTTTGTTCGGCTGGTAGCGAACGAATTAACACAATTCAAGTACAAACTCTTGTTTTTACTTTAATTTAGTTTGATTTGTACATTTATTAGTAAAATAATTTGTTTAATGTTTATTTTCTACTTAGTTCAGTTTTATTAATAAAATTATTCTTTTTGTATCTAGTTTATATTTAGCTTAAACCAGTACATTTTACTGCAAATATTCGTTATATATTAAATTTTTATTTTTATAAACTTTAAAAATTTAATTTTTAATTGTATCACAAACTTTTTTGGGGGTTTTAACATGTGGTTAATTAGGTGATTGTGGCAAAAAATTAATACCATATCTTGAAAGAAAAAATTTATATGATGATGTCATATACAGAAACTGTTATGAAATAAACATGTATGAAATAAATTATCGAATCTGCAAATTGCGCCTAACATTCAGACTCCGAGAACCAAAAAAATTGGAGACGGCAAGCTTTGACTAAAACGTGAATTTTAAATTTAATAGTGTGCATTAAATTTAAAATTTAGCCCAAACATTTTTTTTAAACATTTTCTTTCATATGAACACAACTTGTCTTGGCACTTGAGGATCCCTTTAATTACATGTTTTTAAAAAAGCAAAAATCTTATTTGTCTTAAAAATAAAAACCAAATTTGAAATTATTTAAATATAAAAAAAATCTTAATTTTGCTTTTCTGAACTACCTTATATTTATGTAAGATGTCACAAATAGTGATTTTGCTGAATACTGAATATTTGGCTGCCAAATATATGGCAATAATCAGTTTTTTTGACCTGTTTTATTGAAGTACTTATGTTAATATTTGCTGTGGGCGTTTTTGTTTCATTTGTGACTAGAGCATATTATTTTTTGATTGTTACATCAAATTGTTTCAACTATAGTTATGTATAAAAATATCATACTCTTCAAAAAATTCAAAAAGATTACAAAATAACCAGCTCAGGTATATCTTGCATTTCTGAGGTAATTTCAAAGATAGATATAGCACAAAGAACTCAAAACTTATTAAAAAAGATCTTTACTAAAACCTAAACCTTGGTTGGGTAGTAGTAAAGATATCATTTTAATGGTTTAACTTTAATGCCAATTTAACGGTTGCCTATTTTTTCTGATGCACATTCTAAAATTAATTTTAGGGGATAAGTTAAAACACAAGGAGCAAGAAAAAAAAATTTAATGTCGTGAGAAAGATTATGTCACTAAAAAGTTAATCCTTCTCAGTGAAAGGCTGCTTGACACCGATGAACTATCACCAGTTTCTAGTAGCACCGGTAATGATTCATTTCCACGTAAGAAAAAGAAATGTAAATGAAAACAATCAAGTCATGTGGTAGTGGTGTAATGGTAAAGCACTCGCTTTATAAGCAAAAGGTTTAGAGTACAATTCCTACCAACTCCCTGGTAATACCGCGCTCAACTTGTTTCTCCACATAGCAGCCTTGTTTGTCAAGATTCGTGTTTCAGAAAAATAGTTATAAGTAATTCTTTTTTATTTTACCAGTAAACTCGAAAAAACAAATAAAAAAATTAGGATTATTTAGGAGGATTAAAAAAATTTTATTTTACAAAATTTAAATATTATTCAAAAATCTTCATAAAAAATTTGAAAGTTTGAGTTTAATTTTCAAAAGAAAACTTAGTTTAAAAAACAAGTTTAAATTGGGAGATTATAGTGTTTTACAGGAAGACTGCGATCGCACGCAATTATGTGGCCACACAAAAAATACTTGGACAATGAATATATAATAGAGTGCCTCTAAAACAACTTTTTTTGAAATTGTCTGCTGCCACCCCCTAAATGTAATAAATTAACACTAAATTTAAAATATTTTCGAATAAAAAAAAATTCTAGGGTTCGCTCAAGACCCTTAAACATCAAACGGGTCCCTAATATTTAAAAAAAAAAAGAAGTTCTTTAAAAGTATATCACGTTGGGTCTATTATCCAAATGACTATTATTTTTGAAATTTTTATAAAATTTCAAAAATAATAGTCATAAATAAAGTGAAGAACTTTTTTTTTCCAAATATTAGGGATACATTTGATGTTTAAGGTTCTTGAGCGACCTATGTTTTAACTTTTTTTTTTTATTTAACTTGTTTTAAAAGATTTACATTTATCATAAAAATACATAACTATAAAAAAATCAGTTTATTAATACTTAATATAAAAATTTATTAGAAGTGTTTTGTTAGGTCATTAAAAAATGTTTCCATAATTTAAAAGTATTTAAAATCATACTTTTTTTTGAAAGCTGAAAAATAATTATAATAGCTTTCAAAAACTTTTTTTTTTCAATTTTTTTTTATCTTTATAAATGTATTAACTTTAATGATTCTTATATTAAAATTCATTAAAGAGACTTTAGTTGTCATCGTTTATAAAAACAAAATAATATTTATTTTTTAAGAACGTTTATTATAAAAAATGCACACTTAAATAATTTATACAATGTAAATTTAAAAAACTATATAAAACTGTTAATGATACTTGAAAAAAAAATCCTTTCAGTAAATTGTTACTTTGTTTAGAAGCTTTTCGCTAATATAAAATGCTTGTTAAAAAGTTTCAATGTAATTTATTTCACTTAAATTGCAATTCTGAATATATTTTATTCAGCAAGCTTTTTGAATTTTTTTTTGAAATAGCTGCAGTCAAATTGTCAAAATAAAATGTGATTTGCCTGGTCATATAATGAAATGCAATTGCACGTCTTCCTGTGAAATACTAATTATATGAGGTATTTTTCAATTTCAAGTATATTTTAGGAGAATTTAGGTCTTTTTAAGAGATTTTAAGAGGTAAATATTTGGATATTTTAGGATTTATTAGGAGGCATGTCCACTCTGCCACCTTAGATGTGAGAGCTTCTGAAAGATCTTTAATGTTGAGCAGCCGTGGCACAGTGGTTAGAGTTCTGGCTCAGAACCCAGAGGTCCGAGGTTCGACGCCAGCTCTAGCCCAACAAGCAACATTGGTACAGAATGAGGCGTGAACTTCCTGTTAAATGCTCTCCCACGGTGCTCTACGATAAGACCGTAAGGACATCTGTGAGCACCTAAATACATACAAAAAAAAAAAAGTAAATTAAAAAAAGTATAGGGCCAAAAATCGAACCTTTAGGATTTCCTGAAGTTACAGGAAATGAAGAAGGAGGACATCTTAATTTAAAAGCTGAATGTATTACTTTTTTTTACCATAATGTTGTTTTTAGAATAATTTTATTTTGTGTTGTTCTATTGTTATACTTAAATATAAAAGTAACCTATTTCAACATTGTATAAATAGGCTACTTTTAAGAAATATAGTAGACTATGGATTTCGATCTTATATATATGATTTATATATATCGATTTATATATATAAATATGGATTTCCATCTTCTCGTTCTATGGCTGATTTGCTATCAGTAAGAAGAGAGCTTATGGAGAAGACCAGCATGCCAAACTTTATCAAAGCCCTAAGAAATATTGAGAGCAATAACCTTAACCTCTCCAGATCTAGCTAATGTACAATAAAACACTTTTGGCTGCTCATTCATAATTTAAACAAAAATGGTAAATGGCTCATTTTCCTCCTTCAGAATGGCAGGAAGATGAAAACTATTTGAAGATGACATTTTTCATTAAAACAGTCAAGTTTTGGAATGATGTTGCAAAGTTATGAGTGATGTAGCTGAGCAAGGAATCAAATTTGTTCAGATTTATTTCAGATATTCATAGGTAAAACAAAGGTATTTTAGAAATGGATTGAAAAATTTTAT